AATTTAATTGTAAAAACTTTTTTGTAAATTTACGTGTGTCATAAATGGCTCAAATAAAAAGTTTATCTATCTATCTATATATTTGTTTTAACAACATTTCATCCCGGCCAGCCACTGATTATATCTGGGTCACGCAGACGGAATCGCTAGCAAAAGCTAGTGGCATATAATTGGATCAAAATAGACGCCGAAACTGGTACCGCCGCGTCCTAGTTATGCATTAATCAATACTGTTGCAATGCGCACACGGCCCGCGCGGCCGACACACTGCCCTACTTACCCGTCCGCAGTGTACATACGGCCTCTGGGAGTTAGGCGGTCTCCTATCCATAGATATACACTCGTATATACGATGGCAACATCGTGATATCCTAACTGCCCCACTTACAGTACGCAATGTACTCGCTGCCTCTGGGATGTATTTATTTATTTACTAGCGGCCCGTCCCGACTTCGCACGGGTGGACACTTTCGCATTTTAAATAGTGATCATTATGACATAACGATAATTGTTTTTTTTTTTTTTATGGGTGAAAATGGTACGGTAACCCCGCCTGCGCTAACGGGATATGTTGGCGGAGCACCAGTGAAGGGTGATAGATGAGAATGAAAAAAAGCCAGTTAGCCAATCATGATGAATTCATCAGGAATTAACCATGATAGTTTCCAGGGAGAACCGCGAGGAGGTCGACCTGGTTGGGTATATTGCTAGCAATGGGATTCTTAGTCTCCATTACTAACAATCCCTTTCTCCTCTAACGATAATAGTTCGACATATATAGTATCGCGAAGTTTTTTGTAGCTATTGATATTTTCTTCGATATTGTAGAACATACTTTTGTTCTATCACCATTAGTTTCCGCAGCGCACACGACGAAACATATTTTATAGCGTTTTTGGTACAGAGGAATAACATCTGAGTCCTCAGGAATGGCAACGCATGGGAGGTATCATAGGCGAAACAGTATACTCTGTTATGTCCATGGTACTGCTTATGTCTATAGGCGACGGTTACCACTTTCCATCAGGTGGGCCGTCAGCTTGTTTGCCATTCTAAGTTGTATAAAAAAAATATTACCTATTATTTAATTAATTTGATTGTATAAATTCAGTGACAGTATTGCTTAAAAGCAAAGCACTGATTTTCAGCTGCAGCCTGAAGTTAGGCTACACGGTCGCGTGCAACGAATCTAGATTGTTAATATATAGCTCGCTCTGATATCTATATATATATATATATATATATATATATATATATATATATATATATATATATATATATATTCCTGAGGACTCAGATGTTATTCCTCTGTACCAAAAACGCTATAAAATATATATATATATATAATGTCGAAATGAATTCTATTCAAAATAATATAAATATCCGACTAGTACGCGCAATATCGAAATGGGTCATGACCTATTTTCCTGCAATCGATGTCCAGAAGAAACCCAATATATAAGATATCGGGGCGGTGCCGATATTGCCCATGCTTAGTGTTCTCTCATTAACATATTGAATACTGAATATTGGGGGGAAAGGGATTGTTAGTGATGGAGACTGAGAATCCCATTGCTAGCAATATACCCAACCAGGTGGACCTTCTCGCGGTCCCCCTTGGGAAAAAAAAACGTAGCTGTCAAATTTATTTATATAACCATTTTTCCTTTAATTTTAAACATGAATTATACTTAACAACTATACACTTTTCACCCTTCTTTGCATGATTTTTTTTATTGGTGAAATAAATCAAGGTGATATAATTCATGTTCAGAATTAAAGGAAAAATGGTTAAAAAAATAAATTTGACAGCTACGTTTTTTTTTTCTGCAATGGACATTAAAAAGGTATCCAGACACGATCAACTTAAAGTGAACTTGTTCTTTTATATAATTTTTTGGCATTCAATGTTATGATGGAAATTTCCACCATTATGTAAAGAAGGGTTAAACAGTATGTATTACATAATTTTAACATCAAATTTGTGTTTCGTTCGGCTCCGGAATTTCGGAAAACATTTCATGGTAGGCCCTCTAGAATGTATAATCGTGATATGACAGCTGTAAGTGGTTTACTCATATTTCATTAGTTTTCCTTCTGAAGTCCACACGTATGAAGTAAGAGAAAAAGTTAGTATTGGTTCAGAAATTTCGTAAATTATAAATTCTGAAATGACAGACAGTTTTCTGAGTCTTCAATCCTAACTTAGCAGCTAGACGCGCCCAGTCCTTTCTTTGTTTGACTCGAAACGTTTATGTTATTTTGAATCCATGTATTTGTTGCGAAAAATATTCAGTATTTTTTTTTTTGGCTGAAAATGGTATGGTAGCCCCGCCTGCGCTAACGGTATACGCTGGCGGAGCACCAGTGAAGGGTGATAGTTGAGAATGAATACAGGCCAGTTAGCCCATCATGATGAATTCATCAGGAATTAACCATGATAGTTTCCAGGGAGAACAGCTAGGAGGTCGACCTGGTTGGGTATATTGCTAGCAATGGGATTCTCAGTCTCCATTACTAACAATCCCTTTCCCCCCAATATTCAGTATTCATTATGCTAATGACAGAACACTAAGCATGGGTAATGTTGAAACCGCTCCGATATCTATATATTGGGTTTCTCTGGGCATTGATTGCAGAAAAATAGGTCACGACCTATTTTTTCTAACCTATATTAACAGGGTTGTCAAAACATTCACCATCCGCCATTTTATAGTGGCGGCCATTTTGATATTTAAGATTCTGTTCCACAAATAAATAGCTATTTCAATTGTAGCAAAACCAGTTATTTTAGTTTAAAAACTAAAGCATGGAATCGATTTTCATAAAATTTCCATGGGACTGTAAGAATATCCTTTCAGGTGAAAAAGGAATTTTCCAATTCCGTTACCGACAGACTGAGTCATGTGGTAACAAACTTAAAAAAAAAACTACCGAATTGAGGACCTAATTTTTTTGAACTCGGTTGGAAATATTACAAGTTTTTTTTTTAATGTGTGATAATGGAATGGTACCCCACCCGCGCTATCGGTATACACCGACGGGACACCAGTGAAGGATGATAAGTGAGGATGAAGTAGGTCAGTTAGCCCATCGTGACGAATTCAACAAGAATTGTTCACGATGGTTTCCAAGGGGAACCACGTTGAGGTCGACCTAATAGGACATATTGTTAGCAATGGGAATGTCAAACTCCATTGCTAACAATCCCTTTCCCCCCATTAAAAAATATTAAATATTGTTTAGTAATCAATACTAGACAGTGTATACAAAACTTCAAGTTAATGGAATCTTAAGAATTGGTTTTAGTTGGCTTACAAGATTGGATCTAAACATACAAATATTTATTTAACATTATATGTAAATACATGATCTATGCTACCATATAAAATAAATAATATATAACTACTGTACTACTATCCAAAGGTTGAATGGAAGAGATCGCTGTTAGCGATAAGGCCGCCTATTGCTCTCACAGTGTGATCATATCTTGTAATTGTTTGTGTCTATAATAAGTTTACTACTGTAATCTTTTGGAGGTAACAATAAAGAGTAACGATCTATCTACACAAACCTACTTACGTTGCATCACAGCACAAAATATACCTACAATGACTAGATGACCCTGTGATCTTCGTATTACTAACGCCATCTATTGAAAGTACTCCGAAGTAGCGATTCCCATACAAAATTATCTATTTTTAAATTTACTCCAACGGAATTTAGGAGTTTTTCCGAGTTTTTTTTTTCTTTTCAATCAGGACTGTGAAACGAAATAAAAATATTTTTCTCAAACATGCTTGGAAATGTGAGCATTATTTTGACAATCTTCTTAGAGATAAATCAAAATTGCCATACTGGCCAGATACATGCGGGCAGCGGCCGGCAAAAGTTGTATGAAAATCCATATCTGTCGTGTTTTGCGGCCAAATAAATTACTATGTTAACTCATATCTGTCCTGTAATTTAAAAATGGAATGACCTTTTACTTCGAAACATGGCTACAAAGGAGGTAACTAATAAAAGGTTTTATTTAAATTTCGAACTGGCTTGCTAGAAAGCTGTTTATTGAAAAATAAAAACAGGAACATTATGGCGCGTGAAAAATTGTTATTGTTCGTTATTCGTCATTAAACTAAAAGTAAAATTGTGTTTTTAATTTCCGCGCATTGTTTAAGAAAAATACTATACAGGCCTTGGCCACAACTAGGCTATGATGGACTCACGTATGTGTGCCTCGGCTAGGCCTCGGACCACATTTGCACGTTCGCCATCAATACAATGAAGTAGTTTTTTCTTTCATGGAACTCAATCTTAAATATCAAAATGGCCGCCACTATAAAATGGCGGATGGTGAATGTTTTGACAACCCTGTTAATATAGGTTTGGAAAAATAGGTCGAGACCTATTTTTTTGCAATCAATGCCAAGAGAAACCCAATATATAGATATCAAGGGCTTTTTTTTTTATAAAACAATCTTATTTAAATTTTATATATATTCCTTATTGCACTTGTAAATTACATTGTTAATGCATTTACAAAATATTGTGAGCAAGGGTGGACTTATCTCTGACAGAGATCTCTTCCAGTCAACTCAATGCAGTTAGAAAACATGTTGCTAGCGGGTAGCTGAAGTGCTACAACTATTAATATTTAGAGTACATAAACAAATATACAGTTAAATAAAATATTAAGATACATAATAAAATATTACATAAATACATATACTATAAATAAATATAATACCTACCTACTTATACAATAGATGTTAAAATAAATGAATATACTACCTACAATAGAAATTTAGTTAAATGATTTTAAGGTTTTATATACATAATTCAATTTTTTTTATTGTTTACTATAAAATATCTATATTATAAATGTTATATTTACGCGCCAAATAAATATTTTGTTTTATTTCTTTTTAAAAGTCTATAATAAGGAAAAAAATATGATGGCCAGTAACACGCCACGAGTACATAGAGATCTTTTCCCACAGATGGACATATACGTCCAAACAGCGAGCCCGATAGTGGAGGAGGTGCTCAAGGGATACAACGGCACGATATTCGCATACGGCCAGACGGGAACAGGGAAGACCTACACCATGGCCGGCAGTAACTCGGCACCGGAACTGCGGGGGATCATACCCAACTCCTTCGCACATATCTTCAGCCATATCGCCAAGGCTAAGGATGACGAGAAGTAAGTATTTCACGTAAAATTTTCAGGTAGAATAATTTACTAATCTAGCTACGAACAAAGTAACAATAGCATTTGCTACTGTTACTTTGTTGGTAGCCCTACCGGGTTTTTTTAACAATTTCAAAAAGGTTGTATTAAGATTTACAACAGGGTTTACAACGCGCACGTGACACTCCTAGTGTTGCAGGCGTCCATAGGTTACAGTGACCGTTTACCATCAGATGGGCTGTATACTTGTTTGCCAACCTGGTGGTATAAAAAAAAATCAACTTGTTGGCTCCACTTGTCCACTGAGAACCGGTCTTGCCAGACGGATAGATAGATTATTTATATATTTATAGGATTACCAACATAAGATACAGCGAAACATTTCAATACAATACACTAGTAGGCAACCCCAGCGTGCCTTGTGTTTGATAAACATTAAAATAGAATTAAATTATTAAATGTCATTAAATGAGTGAAGATATTAACAATATGAATAATAATATAATATAAATAATGGAAATTGTAATTAAATTAATTTAAATTATAAATAAATATAAATAAAATGGACAAAAGTAATCCTAAAAGAGTTCCGTTCTGCTTTTTAAGTCTAGAGTCTCTAGGAAACGAGAAATGTATTAAAAAACATTATTCTTCAGGTTCCTAGTATGCGTGACGTATCTGGAGATCTACAATGAGGAGGTGCGCGACTTGCTCGGCAACAACCCCCACCAGAGCCTCGAGGTGAAGGAGAGGCCCGACATCGGCGTCTTCGTCAAAGATCTTACCGGTATGGTAATAACATAAAAAAGTACAGGCGTTTTGTCACTTCACTCACTGGTTCATCAATTAAAATTAGGAGCGCAGAAATAAAAGGAATTGTTAGTAATGAGGTCTAACAGTCCCATTGTGGGAGGGGGGAAGGGTTGTTAGTAATGTGAACTACCAGTCCCTTTACCACCAGAGGGAGACTTTGTACAAAAGTCGATTGCTTGGGTATCTCTGTCGCATTCGTGTTTCAACCGTGAAGCAGTTGTGTTTGCATGGCTGTGTTTCGGTTTGAAGGGTGGGATATGGCGTGAATTTATAGGATATATTATATAGTATATTGCTAGCAATGGGATTCTTAGTCTCCATTACTAACAATCCCTTTCTCCCCAAACGATAATAGTTGGACATATATAGTATCGCGAAGTTTTTTTGAAGCTATTGATATTTTCTTCAATATTGTAGAACATACTTTTGTTCTATCACCATTAGTTTCCGCAGCGCACGCGACGAAACAGTATACTCTGTTATATCCATGGTACTGCTCATGTCTATAGGCGACGGTTATCACCTTCTATCAGGTGGGCCGTCAGCTTGTTTGCCATTCTAAGTTGTATAAAAAAAAAGTAAATAGAGATGTATGCAAGGATAGACTTTTTTGGCATTTCGTTCTCTCTATCTACCCCTCGATAGACTCATCCTGAGAATATATAAATAGAAAACTGTCTCCTGACTCCTCAGGCTATGTGGTCCACAACGCAGACGAGCTCGAGAAGATAATGGCGGTGGGCAACAAGAACCGTCACATCGGCGCCACCGCCATGAACACGGAGAGCTCGAGGTCGCACGCCATCTTCTCCATCACAGTGGAGAGCAGCAAGCGGGGTGACGACGGCAAGATGCACGTCAAAATGGGGAAACTGCACCTTGTCGATCTGGCGGTAAGGTTCATTTTACGTTGGCATCCTATAGATATTTATATGCAAGCACAGCGATTCCCGACCGAAACACAGCTGAGATAGAGAAACCCAACAACAAAACGAAAGAAACCCAAAAAAACAAAAGAACCCAAGGTATAGAAAATTTTGTAAAAAATTCAAAAATAGAAATGATAAGAATTAATAAAAGTTAGAAAACAGCAAAGAGTTTTTTTATGACACTTCTTATGGCAAACAAGCTGAAGGCCCACCTAATGAAAAAAGGTAACCGTCCCCTGTTGGCATGAACAGCACCATGGACATAACAAAATACACTATTATGACCATGATACCCTTCATGCGTTGCCATTCATGAGGATTAAGATGTTATGCCTCCTTACCCTATAATTTCACTGTCATATACCTTCAGACCGAAACACAGCCATGCAGATGCTCCATGACAAAATTATGAGTGTGACAGAGGGGTACCTCTGACGCACTCATATTTCTGCCATTCAAGCAGACGACTTTTGTACAAAGTCTCGCTCTGGTAAAGTAAAATAAACCTTATTTATACTTCCATTAGGGTTCAGAACGACAAAGCAAAACACAAGCGACTGGCACACGATTGAAGGAAGCGACTAAGATCAACCAATCCCTATCGGTACTGGGCAATGTGATATCTGCACTAGTGGATGGCAAGAGTACGCACATACCGTACAGGAATTCGAAGCTAACTAGATTGCTACAAGATTCGCTCGGGGGAAACTCCAAGACTGTCATGGTTAGTGGAATTTAGACTTTAAATGTTTATTAATAAGATTCGAATTTTAGTGTCTAGTAAAACATGAATGTGAATACGTAAGTAATCACATACTGCACAGGAATTAAAAACTGCCGAGAATACTACAGAATTCACTCGAGAGGATCTCTCGTTAGTGGAATTTAGAATTTAAATATTTAGTAATAAGTTTCAAATTTTAACGTTTAGTAAAAGTTTGTAGATAAATATTTATAGCACATAGAAGCTTTAGTTGATGGTAAGAGTACGCACCATACAGGAATACAAAGTTGACGAGATTGATACAGGATGCACTCGAGGAGAACTCTAAAACTGTCATGTACAGTGGAATTTGAGCTTTGAATATTTAGTAATAAGTTTCAAATTTTAGTGTCTTTATAGCACATCTAGTTGCTGGTAAGAGTACGCACATACTTTTTTTATGGGTGATAATGGTATGGTAACCCCGCCTGCACTAACGGTATACGCTGGCAGAGCACCAGTGACGGATGATTGATGAGAATGAAAACAGGTCAGTTAGCCCATCATGATGAATTCATCAGGAATTAACCGTGATAGTTTCCTGGGGGAACCGCGAGGAGGTTGACCTGACTGGGTATATTGCTAGCAATGGGATTCTCAGTCTCCATTACTAACAATCCCTTTCCCCCCAATACGCACATACTGTACTGGAACTCGAAACTACAGTATTCGCTCGGAGGGACCTCCAATACCGTCATGGTTGGAATTTAGATTTTAAGTATTTATTAACATGTTTCTAATTTAATCTATCTATACTTATAATAAATCTGTAGAGAGGTCAATTCTGTACATGAAATATATTTCCAAAATAACTATCAGGCGGTGATTAGTCATCGATACTGATGACAAAAATGCAATCAGTAAAATTTTTTTTTAAAGGATGTCAATGGAATGACGACCCCACCTGTGCTAACGAAATACACTGACTGGGTACCAGTGAATGATGATAGGTGATGACGAAAAGGTGCGTAGTTAGCGCATCGTGATGAATACACCTGGGTTTCAGCACGATGGTTTCCAGGGGGACCACATGGAGGTCGACCTAATGAGGCATATTGCTAGCAATGGGGCTGTCAAACACCATTGCTAACAATCACTGACAGGGTATACTGCTGGCATTAGAACTGGTACTCCGCATCACTAAAAATCCCTCCGCCCCCCCCCCCCCCCTACGTGTTCAAAGTCGCAGACAAAAGCTGGTGTTAATATAAAAACATTGATGTCCCCTACAGATAGCCACGATCGGTCCAGCGGAGTGCAACTACGTGGAGACGATCAGCACGCTGCGGTACGCGAACCGCGCCAAGAACATCGAGAACAAGACGCACGTCAACAGCGAGCCCGGGGACGCGCTGCTCACCAGGTACAGTTCACATTTTTTTTGGCTGAAATATTAAACTTAGATGGTGTCGCGAACTTTTTTTGTAAAGTTAAAGGTAATGAATACATTTGCTAGAGATTTTATTTCATTTATTTGAAACCGTTCAAGCAGCGCACGCCATATTATAGAATTTTTTGGCGACTTCAATTACATTTATTGTGATTAATTATTGAAAAAGTACATTCACAAAATTAAAAAGTATCCTATAGCACTCGGGGATAATATACCTTTCTAACAGTGGGAGAATTTTCAAAATCGAATCACTAGTTCCGGAGATTACTTCGAATATACAAACTCACAAACTTGACCTCTTTATAATAATAGTATATAATACTTATACTTACCTATATAACTTACTTACTGTACTTATACAATTGTGTCGTTGTGTTTGTAAATTGTCTTGCTTATTTCCTATATTGTATAATGCAAATAAAGTATACTCATTCATTCATTCATTCATTTATTCATGAATATTAAAAATTACATTTCCATACAGATTCCAACAAGAGATTGATCAACTCAAGAAACAATTGGAGGAAAGCAATAATGGTGAGTCAAACACCAACAAATAATAATTCTATGTAGTGTACTTATTTAACTCTATGCTTAACAAAAAGTAACATAAGATAGATTTGATTGCACAAGAAAAAAAAAAAACGTTTCAATTATAGTTAAGTTAATTTTGTTTTAAAAACTAAACTATCAAATTGATTTCGATAAAATTTCTATAGGACCAATCTGTAAGTAGATTTATTCAGTTAAAAAAAAGTTCCAAATCGATTTATAACTGACGGAGTTATGAAGTACCAACATAAAATATATATTACATATACAGACTAACACTAAACAAAAGAGTGTATGTGCGTGTGTGTGTCAAATACACGGTAGTGTGTGTGTGTAAGGTTTTTTTTATTGATATAATGTATTTTTATATATAATTTAAAAAAATATTACGCTTTCTCTACATAAACTGTAAATGTGCGAAATTTCATACTGCTCCGTCCGCGCAATTTTCGTAAATAGAGGTACAAAGTTTTTGTTTCACGAATTAATGTATAGATATGCATCTATCAGAACAATATGGAACTATTATGTCGCTAGTGTTGCGATTCGAGAGTGTGAGACGTCTCAATTTCAATATCGATCTATTGGAATTTATTTCAGGAGTAACACCACAGTTATGTACAAATATGTACATCTGTGCGTGCGTGCGTGCGTGCGTGCGCGTGTGTGTGTGTGTGTGTGTGCGTGTGCGTGTGCGTGCGTGCGTGCGTGTGTGCGTGTGTGCGTGTGTGCGTGTGTGTGTGCCCGCTTAATAAAAAGTTTTCCTTACTTATCAGAAATCGAGGAAGAATTCGAAGAAGAGGAGGTGTCCGAGGAAGAACTGTCAGACGACACACTCACAGAGTCAGAGCTGGACAGCCTCGATCCTGAGGAGAAGAAGCTGCGGCGCAAGATGAGGCGCGAGGAGAAGGTCAGTTCCACTTGTACCCTTCTGGATATCTGATTGCCAAAAATAAAACCGCACTATTTCCACGGGTGATTGTAATTATGGCTTACTTTCACCCGATGTTTAGAGCGACATATTCACCGCTTTTTGGATAACCGATACGGCATTGACTTATTTAAACAAGTTAAATTTCAATTAAAAAATGAAATTAAAAATACATTAAAAAAAAATAAGGAAAGATGTTTTTATTTAATTTTACTTAAATTTAAGCTTTTTGAATAATAATTCTTTCATGATTCTACTGTCCATTCACTCAGAAAGAACGGACAAGAAACACAGTTGTTGCTTTTTTTTTGTAATTTTTTAAATTACAAAAATAAATTTAATATCAAATATTTTTTTTTATACAACTTAGAATGGCAAACAAGCTGACGGCCCACCTGATGGAAAGTGGTAACCGTCGCCTATAGATATGAGCAGTACCATGGACATAACAGAGTATACTGTTTCGCCCATGACACCCCCCATGCGTTGCCATTCCTGAGGACTTAGGTGTTATTCCTCTGTAAACTTATGCTTAGCAGTGGCCAGTTAACAGCTGCAAATGAATGATGATGATGATGATGATGATGAAGTACTTAAACATTATATTAATTTCCACGTTGCCATACTTTGGTATGCTTGTGTTTGAACTCCTAAGAAGTCTATATAATAATTGTTACAATATGCTAAAACTATTTACTCCCCGTAGGAGAAACTGAACAAAGAAAAGGCGTACCAAGCGCGGAAAGTGTTGGAAGAAAAGAGGGCAGAACTACAGAGGACCAAGTAAGTAAATTGATTTGTGCACTTGCATCAAGTGTTGTTAACTCTGTCCTTGAGGAGTATGTGAGGAAAAAATAACAAATGGAATGGAGGACTTTGAAGGGTCTTAGACATTCTAAAAGTTCTTAAATGACAATGTTGAGGGATGGAATAGACTCATCTACAGCGGTGGCAGACAACAGGCAAGACTCATTATGGGTGGGATTCAGGCACACTGTGCAGACTGTGCGGGGAGAAATCGGAATCCATGGAACACTTGATGTGTAACTGCGATTCGTTAGCGAGCATGCGTATGAGTCTACTGGGAACGGCTTATCCAGAGCCAGGGGACTACAGATATCTTAAACCGCGGGATATCGTTAGGGTAACACATAGGATCTATGAAATGATGGTATAAGGCAGGGGGAAGCACAAAAGATCCCAATGGGTCGACGTGCAACGGTACCCCATATGCGAATATAATATAAGTAAATTGAACTCTGTTGTTCTCTTCAAAGATACAGATTATAAATATTAATAATATATACATAGAAAAAAGGAATAATTAATTACGTGAAAGCAAAAGAGGCAACAATGGGCGGCCTTATCGCTAAATAGCGACCTCTATTGGGGAATACTTAACAAAAATAATACGTAGCAGGAAAAATCTGCATTATTACAGTGACCTGGGGTTTGAGGCTGGGGCAAAGGGATCCGCCCCCTGACCCCTTAACCCTCCCAGGGGGGTATAAAAGATAATAATTTAAAATTAGCAAGATAAAAAGGTCGGACTTAAAATTTGATTTGTCTATGACAAGCACAATGCAATAAAATGTCAGAAATAATAATGAATTAACAGAAATAGAAATTTATTATTTGACAAAAACACAAAATTACAAACAAAAGATAAGACAAGGCCGGCAGCACACCTGCAATGCCGCTGGTGTTGTGGGTGATCATGGGCGGCGGTAGCCACTTACCATCAGGTGAGCCGCATGCTCGTTTGCCCTCTGTGTTGTAAAAAAAATACACTGAGCCTCTTTTTAGGCGGACCTGTATCGTGGGCATTCGACGAAGATTAACATATCACAATGTGTTATAATAACAAGTGCATAGTGGGCGGGTATTAATATAAAAGAAAAAGAGTATAAAACTGACGTGATGATCATTTGTTAATAAATTAAATGTTTTTACCATTGAGTTATCTACTTTAATAGTATATATGTACTAGACTCTAGTAACTAGAGGGAGACTTTGAACAAAAGTCATTTGCTCGAGTACCTTTATCCCATTCGTGTTTCAACCGTGAAGCAGTTGTGTTTGCATGGCTGTTTTTCAGTTTGACGGGTGGGATTTGGCAGTGAATTTACAGGGTACAGAGGAATAACACTTTAGTAGTCAAGAATGGCAACGTATGGGAAATATCATGGGCGAAATAGTATACTCTGTTATATCCATGGTACTGCTCATGTCTATAGGCGACAGTTACCACTTTCCATCAGGTGGACCATCAGCTTGTTTGCCATTCTAAGTTGCATAAAAAAAGAGATTTACATCTGCTAAACCTTCGCACAAAATCACGTACAGGAAACAGCAAGAGGAGCTAAAAGACAAGCTGCAACGGCTCGAGTCCAAAGTGCTGGTGGGTGGTGAGAATCTGCTGGATAAGGCCGAGACTCAGCGGCAGTTGCTGGAGCAGGCGGCGCGCGAGTTAGAGCAGCGGCGGCTGATAGAGCTGCAGCTGCAGGAAGACTTGCACAAGAAAGAGGTAGGTGGCAGGGTTTTTTTTTTATAGGTGATAATGAAATAGTAACCCCACCCGCGCTATCGGTATACGCTGATAGGGCACTAGTGAAGGGATGATAGGTGAGGATGAAGCAGATCAGTTAGCCCATCGTGACGAATTCAATGAGAATTGTTCACGATGGTTTCCAGGGGGAACCACGCGGAGGTTGACCTGATAGGGCACATTGCTAGCAATGGTGCTGTCAAACTCCATTGCTAACAATCCCTTCCCCCCAGGTGGTAGGGTTGCCAGCTATTAGTAGTTTTGTTTTTATAAAAAAAAAGTAAAAAAAAAAAACACTTAAGGGGACTCCTGAAGTATAAATTACGAGCATTAAATTGCGTAGCGAAATTTATATAAATTTACATATAATAATTAGTTATATTTTTCTAAAAACTTATAATTTTTTTTATTATATAATAATTTAAAAAACAACATTAACAAATATCCAAAATTATTCAGTAAATGTAAAACAATTACAGTACATCAGTATTTGCATGGTTGTGTTTCGGTTTGAAGAGTGGGATATGACGTGAATTTACTGGGTACAGAGGAATAACACCTGAGTCCTCAGGAATGGCAACGCATGGGGGGTATCATGGGTGAAACAGTATACTCTGTTATGTCCATGGTACTGCTCATGTCTATAGGCGACGGTTACCACTTTCCATCAGGTGGACCGTCAGCTTGTTTGCCATTCTAAGTTGTATAAAAAAAAAACCATATTCGACACACCATCTAGTGGGGGGCATCCTACACTGCGTGTCGGGTACACGCAGTGTACAGGGAAGCCATTCAAAAAACTTTCTATTTATGTATATATAAACTATTAATCCCAGGCCGAGCGTCTGGACCTAGAAGAACGCTACTCCAGTCTACAAGAGGAGAACGCAGCCAAAACTCGCAAGCTCAAACGGGCGGTCCAGCTCCTCAACTCAGCTAAGGCGGAGTTGGCCGACCAGCAGCGGGAGCAGCAGCGCGAGATGGAGGGCATCCTGGACGGAGTCCGAGCGCTGCGAAGGGAGATACAGTTGGCTGATTTAGTCCTCGACTCCTATATACCCAAGGAGTACCAGGTACTGATTATACAGCTGTGGTTCCAGTCTTTTTAACCGACTTAAAAAAGAAGGAGATTCCAATTCGACTGTATTTTTCTTTTATATTTGTGACCTCATATCTCCGTCAGTTGTGAATCTATTTGGGATTTTTTTTTAATCTGAAAGGAGATACTTAAATATTGGTTCCATAGAAATTTAATCAAAATAGGTTTTGTCATAATTGATAGGGCGGGTTGGTAACCGCAGTTAGTTTTCGGTGGTGTTTTAAGAGAGACACTGCCACACATCCCTCGAGCATTAAGTTCCCTTTGTCGCCTCCCGTAAGTGTTGTAACCCACGGGAAAGGAAGGGGTGATCTATTGTACGCCGGGACCACACGGCGGTTAAAATAACACAATGCAAATAATTGCAAATAATAAAAAAAAAATAACAATGTTAAAATATCGTTCCTTTTGACTTTTACGGTAGGATTTATCACATACAAAATGTGATAAATCTTCATTTACTTGGCCAATTTCGGTGTGAACGAAAACACGAAATGGAGTCTAAAAATTTAAAAATTTTACTTCGTGGTAGACCCCCCGGACAGTTTCCTTCCAATGTAGATTTGACATAGACGTTCGTACGTAGGCACTGATCGAACAGTACGTGCACTGGAATGAGCAGTTGGGCGAGTGGCAGGTCAAGTGCGTCGCGTACACCGGCAACAACATGGCGCCCCACCAACATCAGCAGCAGCAACAACAACAGAAATATGTACGGTGAAAATACTTCAACGACTAATGTAATATTAGTGGAAGGGAAGGGATTGTTAGTACTGCAGATTACTAGTCCCATTGCTAACAATATACCCCAAGGGGTAAAGAGGTTTCTTCAGGGTCGGCAACGCGCGCGTAATACCTCTGGTATTGCAGGTGTTCATAGGCTACGGTAACCACTTACCATCAGGTGGGCCGTATGCTTGTTTGCCACCTCAGTGGTATAAAAAAAAGCCCTACCAGGTCAACCTCCGCATGGTCAACCACCGTGCTGAATTCCAGGTGTATTCATCACGAACTCATCACCATCAAGTATCCTGAATAGGTTACGTAATTTCCTCCCAGTTACCACCAAAATTTCGCCCGCACACTTCTTACTTCTGTCCATTCTTGATAATGACCCATGTTATTTAGACCTCACCGAAGAGCAATTAAACAAACTTGAGTGTCTTCAAAATTTATATATCCGCTTCATATTTGGTCTTCGCAAATATGATCACATTTCTCAATTTCGTACTCGACTCAAGTGGCTTCCGTCTGTTTTCGTCGTAATCTGCATATCCTGTCTCTTCATTACGCAATCCTTTTTAATCCCGCTGCTCCTGATTGTCTAAAAGACCGATTCTTGTTCCTCAATGAGGCTAATGATCATACTTTACGCAGTGTCAATAATCTCCGCCTCAAATTTCCCGCTCATTCTTCCTTCTTTTATTCTAAATCCTTTACTGTTCAGGCAGTTCGCCTGCGGAACTCACTACCTGCCTCTATTCGGTGCACTCGAACTCTCATTAGCTTTAAAACCTCTGTGAAATCCTACTCCCTCTCCCTTTAGTACTATTTTCCTGTGTTCTCTCTTCATTTTCCCTCGTCATTCTCTTCTATTGTGTGTGTGCTACTAAGTATGTGTATGTTTATGTATATATTGGGACAGAGGTGCCTGAGCACCGCCTACTAAATTTTATGCTTGCCTCGTGGTTGACTGGTAGAGAACGCCATTAGGTATTAAGTATATGTACACTTATATAATTGTACATTGAAGTTTAAATAAATGTATCAAAACAATACTATGTTTACAGATGGAGCCACCGGACTTATCGGACCGCTATTTATCGTACAGTCGCGTGAACACGCGGCCGGGCACGCGACTAGCGCGCCCCCAGACGTCGGCCGTGCCGCGTCCGCACACCGCGCTCCGGCAGCGCCAGTAATGCGGATACTACTATAACGCCCACTACTAGCACGCATGCTAGTATTGTAATCACTATTAACTACTTAAAGCGAGGGTTTTTCTGTTAAATGAGGTCAACTGGCGCACGCACTAAATTCGAACGAGCATACAATAAATATACACTGAGCTTTATGAAATACAAACAGGCGAGAATTGATCGCTCCAGATTAAAATATAAACATAAGTGGCGAGAGGTACTCGAGATAGCGCAAATCGGAACACATTTGATGCGCGTTAGGGTCTCGTTCGAGATGCTTAAGTGGTTAATATATCCGCTACTAATGCACATGTTAGTAGCGCGTCCTGCTAGTGTGTCTTACTAGCTCACTTGATACTAGCGTGCCCATTACTAATATGTCCACTACTAGCGTGCATGTTACTACGCATCAGTTGCTAGCGTACATTTTAGGAGATGCTCAAGTAATACCTAACGTGATTTCTGTACATTTTTAATAGTCCTCCCCATGTAATACACCTTAACATTTATCTGTACGTCCCTCCCTAAACGTTACGTAACACCTAAATGAGCATTTTTACCTCAAAATTCACAAAATTAACGCATACTGACAGCGAAAATAAAATAAATGATTACGTACAATACAGTTGAGGGGTTCCCTCTAAAAATAAAGAGAGGAAAGGATCGACAACTTGGGAGATATTAATATCCTACTTTTTAATTTGGTTAAAAAAATACATTATTACGTAATGCGTTGTTATAACCCTTTTCCCGCCCCCTATCGCATTTAAACGTTTCACAAGACCCGCCCCTTCCCCCAAATCGCGTTATGCAATACTTGAACGCTCCTTTACTACCGCGTTGTATCCGCTATCGTGGCCACAACCAGCGTGAATGCTACTGCCCGTCTATTACTCATATATCCGCTACTAGCACGCATTCTAGTAATGTCCGCTTATAGCGCGTCCACTACTAGCACGCATGTTACACATCCCCTAGTGGACACTAGTGTGTCCGCCACTACCAGGCATGTAACTAGGGTGTTCGTTATTATTGTGTCGGTCACTAACACTACTAGTGTGGCTACAACTAGAGTGTCGACTACTAGCATGTCGACTACTAGAGTGCCAACTACTAGCGTGTCGACTGCTAGAGTGACAACTACTAGCGTGTCGACTACTAGCGCGCCTGAACATTGTCATTTTAATGCTACATGATATTACTATTATATAAAAAAAAACATTGTGTGAATGTATAATCGACCGCATACCGTAACATTAGCATTACTAGTGCGGCGGCTAATATTTTCAACCGACTTCAAAAAGGAGGTCGTCAATTCGTGTATTTTTTATTTATGTTTGTTACCTCAAAATTTTGTTAGTTGTAAACCGGTTTGGAAAATTCTTTTTTTTTTTATCTGAATTAAAATTGATTTAGTAGTTTAGTTTTGAAATCAAAATAACAGATTTTTCCAAAATTGAAGTCGGTTTTTTTTTTAATAAAACACGAACATAACTATTGCATTATGATCTCAACTTTTCTATTCAAGTGAACATTATGCTATCCATAGATTAACTTGCATTTTATTTTTAGCTAAACATTTATACTTAATTTTAAATTAAAAAAAGATGTTCCGAATTGAACTTTAGCACCAGTGAATTAGATACAATTTTCTGTTTTATTCTATAAAGATTAATTTGATCTATGTACCTTAATTTGTGATTTTGCTAGTCGCATTCCGTGATTTTAATGCTTTTATTGTATCAGTATTAGCTATACAGTAGAGTCTCGATTATTCGATTAAAATAAAACCAGCGGTATTCCGGATAATCGAAAATCCGGATAATTGATTCTAAAGTCAAATCAAACAATACATAATTAAGTTTTTTTTTTTTATTTATTTAATAGTTTTACGTACGTCATTTAGACAATACGATATAAAAAAAATACGACCTACAAAGATAATGGATTACGTAATAACTATTTACCCAATTAATACATAATTCCATTTTTAAATCTGTAATTAGAGCCGTGAAAAGTAAGTCCGGATAATCGAATATTCGGTTAATTTATGTTCGGATAGTCGTGATTCCACTATATATTGCAAATTATTTATTACACATAATTTTATTATATATTAGTTTGTAATAGTGCAATATTTTTTTTAAATAAATTTTATACCTGTAAACCTAGTGGTTTTATTTAAAACTCTCTTAGATATGCCATAGCCATGGTACCCGTCGCCTATAGACATGAGCAGTACCGTGGACATAACAGAGTATACCATTTCACCCTTTGATACCCCCCATGTGTTGCCATTCCTGAGGACTCAGATGTTAGTCCTCTGTACCCTGTAAATTCACTGCTATATCCCACCCTTCAAACTGAAACACAGCCATGCAAACACAACTGCTTCACGGTAGAAACACGAATGGGACAGAGGTACCCAAGCAAACGACTACACATACAACAGGAGGTAATACCGAAGAAAGATGAAGAAAGAATACAGGAAAATAGTCCTAAAGAAGGAGCGATAGTAGGATTTAACCCTTAAAAGCCTGATTTTTTAAATCATATTAAAAAAATATATAAGTGTACCCTTTACTGTTTTTACTAATGGGGAAAAATAGTAAAAAAAAATCAAAACGATATTTTTATATATTTATTTAGAAAAAATATTTGGTAACGTGTTAACAGCCAAATATTAAAATAAAATCGATTGTAGGCGCCCAATGCGATTTATAACCGGGGTTTGATACCGGGGTATCAAATTTGAAACTTCAGGTATTTAAGGGTTAATAGAGGTTTTGAAGCAAGTGAGAGTTCAGTCCCGAAAGAAAACGGGAAATAAATCTATTAGAAATTTATATTAGTATTTAGAATGATAAATGAAGCCGTATGGTCCCGGCATAAAATAGGCCACCTAGATTCAATTCAACTAGAATTAGCCACGATGGTTTCCAGGGGAAACCACGTGGAGGTCGACCTGACCCTGAATCTACCCTATATTACTAGTAATGAGGATATTTGACCTCCATTACTAACAATCCCTTTCCCCCAGGCAGATCAATTAGCCTATAGTGATTAATACACCTGGAATTCAGCACGATGGTTACCAAGGGGTTCGACGTGATAGGGTATTATATTACTAGCAATGGGACTGGTAATCCCCATTACTGACATATTATTTGACATTAATTTTATGCCTGTCTACAACAAATCGGCCATATAGATTTCCGAACACATTTCACATGATATTTTCAAAGGGTTTTATATAAATTTTTGTGTTTAGATTCGATTATATTTGTTTATTTGCCCGAACATTGTCTTTTACAGATATTGATCCATTGTGAAGTACAAATGTTCGCCTTATAGTCTAAAGCATGCAAAGTTATTAGATTTTTCAAAATTGTATTGTTTATAAGGTCCCTATTCTTTTGAAATATGACACTCATTGGTGCAATTTTAAAGAAAGCCCAATCCAAAGAATCCGTATCGAGGAGATATTCTTCTCCACCGCCTGAGATTAAAGAGGATGTGATAATTAAGAAGAAGAAGAAATTGTTAGTGCATAAGGTGAGTTATTTTTTTTTAGGATAATGTTTCTATAGGAAAAATTCGAACCGTCATGTTTAGGGTTGTGCCAATGAAGCTGCATTACTGATTTGTTCTCTACACTGTGGTAGTATTTTTTTTTTATAAAACTTAGAATGCCAAACAAGCTGACGGCCCACCTGATGTAAAGTGGTAACCGTCGCCTATAGACATGAGCAGTACCATAGACATAACAGAGTATACTGTTTCACCCATGATACCCCCCCATGCGTTCCCATTCCTGAGGACTCAGGTGTTATTCCTCTGTACCCTGTAAATTCATGCCATATCCCACCCTTCAAACCGAAACACAGCCATGCAAACACAACTGCTTCACGGTAGAAACACGAATGGGACAGAGGTACCCAAGTAATCGACTTTTGTACAAAGTCTCCCTTTGTAATTAAAACCATAAGAAAATTATATAAAAATCGCCTGCTCAGGTCCTTTGGACTTCTACCCTGTTCGTATTTTTTTTAATGGATGATAATGGAGTGGTAACTTTGCTTACGCTAAAGGTATACGGTATGTATCTATATAATACAATTTTATCTTTAGCTGTTAAATTGGTTACACAGGTTACGCTCTGGGTTCGTTGCACGCGTCTATTTTTGAAAATCAGTGCTTTGCTGCTTAAGCAAAACCATCACTGAGCTGTAGCCTATTTGGGTCACTGCGACACATATGGCGAAACCATATTTTATCTTTTGTTGTATATTTTAAAAAATGTAAATATTTTGATTGTATAAGCTCATTCGTAAATTTACGTGTGTCATAAATGGCTCAAATAAAAAGTTTTTCTATCTATACACTGGCGGAGCACCAGTGAGAGATTTCTTTTAAATATTATTTTAAGGGCTTTTACCTTCTTCAATATATCAGTCCTATCGTACCCTGAACTGATTTCTTAAACGAAACTTTATTTACTTTCCCTAGACGCGGTAAGAGAAGAATTAATGGGCATCAATAATTTACAGAGATGTTCTGGTTTAAGTTCAGCTAACATAGATTGAATGAGACCAACGTTAAATTTGTTTAAGTTAAAGTGGCGCATGAATTCTTCTCTTTCCTTCGTGTTAATACGACACTCTAATAGAATATGATGCACATCATCCATGGTATTACAAGTTTGACAATGGGGTGACAAGGACTTTCCCATCATAAGTGCAAATATTTTTGATGGATAATGACCAGATCGTAGATGAACAGCTAATTTAATGATAAGTGAGAATGAAAAAGCAGGTCTGTTAACTTATTGCACCGGGAATTCAGCACGACGGTTTCCTGGGAAAACCACTTGGAGATCGATTTAACACGATATATTGCTAGCAATGGAACTGGTTCATTCTCACCTATCGACCCTTTCTAGTAAGGGGAAAAGGGATTGTTAGTAATGGAGTCTAAGAATCCCATTGCTAGCAATATACCCAACCAGGTCGACCTCCTCGCGGTTCCCCCTGGAAACTATCATGGTTAATTCCTGATGAACTCATTATGATGGGCCAACGGGGTTATATGGGTGCCTCGTCGGTTTATATCGATAGCGAGGGCGGGGTTAACATTCCATTTTCATCCATTAAAAAAACCCTTACTAGTGCCCTGCCAATATATACCGTTAGCATAGTAAAAAAAAAATCATACATATATGAATCTAGAAGTCATAACACCGCCTTTTTGGACAGTCATGTAAAAACGCCACCAATTTGAACATTTTTAGTTCGCGCACGTGAAGCCCGCAGTCGACTCGTCTCCCCCGCGGTACACCCCAGCACTAATGCTGCGTTCGCTACCCGTGTACCATCGCCAGCTGCTACATACGTACCAAGAAAACATACGACTTCTTATGGCCATAAAGAGGATGCATTTTCTGAGGGTCAGTTATAGATAGCAGATAGATAGATACTTTTCATTGTTCCCTCCAAAAGATTACAATAGTAAACTTATTATAAATATAAATAATTACAAGAAATAATCGCAATGAGAAAACAATGGGCGACCTTATCGATAAGAGCGATCTCTTGCAGGCAACCTTTGGATGGAGAGGAGTAATTATAAACAATTTGGTGGGAGGCATGATGAAAAATTCTGTTAGTTCTAAATATGGGAGATGTGATACATATAATAATATAAATATTATTATTTTATTATTTTTCCATTATTTCTGCCTACCCTAATGGGAGACAGGCGTGACAGATATGTATGTATGTATGTATATAAATATTATCCCTACTCATTTTATATATATACATACACACACACACAATCACACGCATATATATAGATACCTACTCTTTATTATTTCCTCCAAAAGATTACAATAGTAAACTTATTATAAATACAAACAATTACAAGTAATGATCACAGTGAGACACAATGGGCGACCTTTTGCACTAAAAGTTGTTTTAAATAGACATTTTTATTAAGTTATAGGTATTTTCAATTCCAAAAGTGTATAAGTCCGTAAATGGATCTATGTTAATTGGACGTAATAAAACTTAATCCATCCGTTTATTTAGACTTGGATCTTGTAACTATCTGTACCTGAAAATCTCTTTAAATAAAGTTATTAACAAATTGAATTAAGTATCACCGAATGTAAGAACTGAAGTAAGAACGAAGTACCAGAGGGAGACTGTACAAAAGTCGTTTGCTTGGGCACTATCCCATTCGTGTTTCTACCGTAAAGCAGTTGTGTTTGCATGGCTGTGTTTCGGTTTGAAGGACGGGATATGGCGTGAATTTACTGGGTACAGAGGAATAACACCTGAGTCCTCAGGAATGGCCACGCATGGGGGATATCATGGGCGAAACAGTACACTCTGTTATGTCCATGGTACTGCTCATGTCTATAGGCGACGGTTACCACTTTCCATCAGTTTGTTCAGTTGTTTGCCATTTTAAGTTGAATTAAAAAAAATATATCGATTTTCGATTTATATTATCCCAATATTTTGTTTTGTTCTATAGTTCTATACTCAAACAATTATAATAAATATTAAAATATAATAAATAATAATAATTAAAGACTATTCTTTTTTAATAACAGTAATTTATCATAGGGTAAAGTGGACTGCTGGCGGAAGGAACCACCTCACACAGCCACTGAGCAATATTACAAAAACCGAATGCATTTCCTTAAACAAGTGCAAAATGAAAATGAAAATATGTACTGGCGAATTGTTAATTCTGTAAGTGTTTCATTGTATAAATTCATCATAATTGTTAAACACGAAAACTACATACGATTTTAAAAATTCCTCCACTTTTTAAGCTAGCGTTGCTAGTCTCAAGATGTAGACTTTATACAAAAGACATCTTGTTTATTTGTATTGAATTATTTTGTTTAATTCCACTACCATTAGTATGTGTGTGACTGGCAACACTCGAAGATTGACCACCACTATTTTTTTTTATTGGATGAAAATGGAATGGTACCCTCGCCTGCGCTAACTGGGATACGTTGGCGGGGCACGAGTGAAGGGTGAAAGATGAGAATGAAAACAGGCCAGTTAGCTCATCATGATGAATTCATCTGGAATTAACCATGATAGTTTCCAGGGGGAACCGCGAGGAGGTCGACCTGGTTGGGTATATTGCTAGCAATGACTAACAATCCCTTTCCCCCCCAACCACCACTATTACTACCATGTGGTCCGGCATAGAATAGGCCACCCCTTCCTTTCCTGTGGGTGTCGTAAGAGTCGACTAAGGGACGGTGAGGGATAGGCAGTAGCGTCCCTCTTAAACATCTCTAAAGCCCAACTGCGGTTGCCAATCCGCTTGCCAAGCGTGGCAACTACTGGCAGAATCCCCTAAGGGGAGGCTTATGTTCAACAGTGGAAAGTTAAATGATTACTACCAAAAGTTCTACAACATTCCGTTTTAGATATCAATCTCCGATTGCCATTTTGTTCACGCACGTTTTGCGACATGTGTTTCACCTCTAAACGAGGCAATTTCACGCAAAATATTAGATTGCTGCTCGGAGCCTAGTGTTAACCGTTCAGCACCCAATTCGACCGTCTTACCGTATTTATATCCCTTTTTTTTGATGGGTGAAAATGGTATGGTAACGGGATTCACTGGTGGAGCACCAGTGAAGGGTGATAGATGAGAATGAAAACAGGTCAGTTAGCCCATCATGATGAATTCATCAGGAATTAACCATGATAGGTTCCAAGGAGAACCGCGAGGAGGTCTACCTGGTTGGGTTTATTGCTAGCAATGGGGTTCTCAGTCTCCATTACTAACAATCCCTTTCTCCCCTTTATACCCCTTTAACCGGCGTGAGTAGAGAGTATACTAATAATATGCTGGCCATCCCTCGCCGTCCCTTAGTCGTCTTTTACGACACCAACGGGAAAGGAAGGGGTGGCCCATTCTATGTCAGGACACACGCGGCGAATTAAATATAATAAAATTTAATTGAGCCCACGACAATTGTATAAAACCCATGTTAGTGTAATTTGATTGCGACAATAAAAATAAATTTATAACTGTAATCCAAAAAATTTTCTATTCTGTTTTTCCTGTACTTCAACTTTGGTGCTCCCTTGGACTATTTATTTATTTATTATATACAAGAAATTTACAATGCCAGTACATTGAACCCCGCATTAGGCGAACCTGTATCGTGGGAGTTCATAAGAGATTACCAAGACGTGGTGATTTACAAATATAAACTAGTGAGCCCAACTTTTTTTTTTATACAACTTAGAATGGCAAACAAGTTGACGGCCCACTTGATGAAACCGTCGCCTATAGATATGAGCAATACCATGGACACAACAGAGTATACTGTTTCGCCCGTGATACCCCCCATGCGTTGCCATTCCTGAACACTCAAATGTTATTCTTCTGTACCCTATAAATTCACTGCCATATCCCACCCTTCAAACCGAAAGAGCCATGCAAACACAACTGCTTCACGGTAGACGGTTCACGGAACAGAGGTACCCAAGCAATCGACTTTTGTGCAAAGTCTCCCTGTGGTAAAACTATAACTATACATTTGTGAACTATTTTTATTTTCAATTGATTTCAGAAGGCGCGTGTGGCTAGCACGGCATCACTGCGCAAACACTGGCGACGTAACCGCTGCCAGATCCTGCACCGGGCACAAGCGCCTTTCGTGCTGTTTCCACCTGTGCCCCAGCAGATCGTAGAAGACGCTGCGTTTGCGCCGCCAGCGGGCGTAAAACGACCTAGGTCAACTAAGTAGTGCTTACAATATAGTAAGGGGGAGGGATTGTTAGTAATGCGAACTACCAGTCCCATTGCTAGCAGTATGTTTAACCAGGTCAACCTCTTCGTTGTCCCCCCTGGAAACCATCGTGCTAAATTTCAGATGAATTCATCACGATGAGCTAACTGGCCTGCCTTTTCATTCTCACCTATCATCCCTCCTAACTGGACATATGCCAATAAGGCATATACTACACAAGATGGGTCTATTTTCGGACACACTGTACAGACTGTGCGGGGAGAAATCGGAATCCATGGAACGCTTGATGTGCAACTGCGATTCGTTGGCAAGTATGCGCATGAGGCTACTGGGAACGGCTTATTCAAAGCCAGGGAACTACAGATATCTCAAACCGCGGGATATCGTTAGGGTAACACATAGGATCTATGAAGTGACGGTATAAGGCAGGGGGAAGCACAAAAGATCCGTATGGGTCGACGTGCAACAGCTTAGCTGACCCCATATGCGAAAAAAAAGATGAGACAAGATAAGACCATCCCTCATTGGTGCCCCGCCAGTGTATATTGATAGCGCGCGGGGCTTCTATTGAGTGAGAATGAAAAAGCAGATTAGTTTTTTTTAATACTACTATGGTGGCGAACAAGCATACGACCTGTCTGATGGTAAGCAGCGTTGCCATAGCCTATGAACGTTTATAATACCAGGGATTTCATACGCGCGTTATTAACCCTTAAGAAAACTTAATATGCTTTTTTAAAGAACTCCATGTTTTTTTTTAATGGGTGATAATGGAATGGTAACCTCGCCTGCGCTGCGCTGCGTTCCAAGACAGGTGAGAATAGAAAGGCAGGTCAAGCATCGTGACGAATTCCATTAGAATTAACCACGACGGTTTCCAGGGGGAACCGCGTGGAGCTCGACCTGATAGGGTGTATTGCTAGCAATGGGTCAATTAGACCCCATTACTAACAACCCCTTTCCCCCCAGGGAACTCCATGCTGTAGTCTCTAGGGAGAATTGACGTCAAAAAGTAGGTTAGAAATCCTGTTTCCTAGTTCCTTAATTCCAGTGAGAACCTTCCATTATTTGTAAACATAATTAGAAATATAAAAGACAAGCTTTTACAATTTTCTCAGGGTTTTTCTATCGTTGCGTATCCGCAACGGCGCCGTGCTCGGTGACCTGACCGCGGAACTCTTTACCGACGTGTGCCCACGGACTTGTGAGCTGTTTCTCGCTCTGCTGAACGGCGATGGACTCGGCCACGGTTACGTAGGCACTTGCTTCTTCAGGTCAGTTGTCATTAGTACTGTTTTGTTGGCGAAAATCCCTAAGAAAACCAGATACTTTCTTATATTTTTTATCTCAGACTTCATAAACCTAACCTGAGAATAGGAGGGGGAAAGGGATTGTTAGTAGTAATGCGTAATATACCATATCTTTTTTTATGGATGAAAATGGTATGGTAACCCCGCCTGTGCTAACGGGATACGCTGGCGGAGCACCAGTGAAGGGTGATAGATGAGAATGAATACAGGCCAGTTAGCCCATCATGATGAATTTATCAGGCATTAACCATGATAGTTTCCAGGGGGAACCGCGAGGAGGTCGACCTGGTTGGGTATATTGCTAGCAATGGGATTTTTAGTGTCCATTACTAACAATCCATTTCCCCCCAATATACCCTATCAACCTCTCCGTGGTCCCCCCTAGAAACCATCGTGCTGAATCCCAGGTGTATTCATCACGATGGGCTAACTAACCTGCCTCTTCATCCTCACCTATCATCCCTCACTGTTGTATATCGTAAGCGCGGGCGGGGTTACCATTCCATTATCATCCATTAAAAAAAAACCTCAGAATAAGATACCGAGATCTTCTCCCTCAATGATCTCATGAAAGTTACGAGTTTCAAAGTACTTATGCCACTATAAAATCATAACCCACCTACACACCATAGTGGGGGGAAAGGGATTGTTAGTAATGGACACTAAGTATCTCACTGTTAACAAAATACCCGAGCAGGTCAACCTCCACGCTGTTCTCCCTGGAAACTGTCATGGTTTTCCTCTTGTAATTTCCAGTATAATTTCCTTAATACGACGTGTACAAGATATCAATCATGTAAGAAAACAAAAAAGTTACAAAATATAAAATCTAAAAAAGAAAACTTATATAAAAAGAGGTCTGTCGCCAACAGCAGATATTGCAGATTTCATTACATCTTAAGAAAATGTTATGAAAATTATTATAAAAAAAAAAGTTTCACATCTGTTCTATTACATAAGTGCTTTATGCATATTTATTTATTTATTTATTCTTTATTGCACAGTAAAATTTTGTACAAATGGCGAGCTTAATGCCATATGGCATTCTCTACCAGCTAACCATTGGGTAAAAACAGAAAGCGTATGAAGGGCAGATGTGGTGAAAAATATGTGACAATTATAGTAACACATTAAGGCAATACACAATATAAATATAATATACACATAAGAAATGCACATATAATACATAAACATTACTTTTAATATATATGGATAAACTAATACATATGAAATATATACATATATATATATATATATATATATATATATATATATATATATATATATATATATATATATATATATATATATACATACATATACATAAATTAAAACAACGATAAGCATTATGAGATATAATAACTATTGAGTAACCTGTAACTAGAGCTGGTTTTCTTGACTCAACAAATATTGAAATATAAATTATAAAAAAAAAATCATTTTAAATATTTCAAATTGTCAATCAATAAAATATGTCAATGTAATGTCACAAAATTATGATTAAACTTATTTAGTGTCGATTAATTATAATTTTATTTCCTATATTAATTTTATACTTAACCTATCAGGAGATGCTGGTCTCAGATTCAGGTTTCGCTCCTAATAACGAAATACTGATCAAAGTCGTCAGTCCTGAAGGACAAACGTTCACCGCTTACTTCTCTGAAGAGACCCTCGTCGAGGAAGTCAAGAACCGGGCTTTGGATTATTTTTATCCGAATGGAGAAAATGGGTCTGGCAGATTTAAGATCGTTCGTGTCTTTGACACGTCAATATTGCACGACTTCTTGACACTCGCGCAAGAACAGGTAATGATGCAAGAAGAGTTTCTATTAGTGGAGAGAAGGATTTCAGAAGCTGGCACCTTATGGGATCTAGGAACTGTAAGAGCTCCCCAACATGGTACTATAGCTGCTGCTACGGCGTCTCTCCCGGCACCACAAAACACAATCCGTCAACCAAACCTTCAGTCTTTACTGTCAACTAACGAATTATCTCACGAACTTCGGAAAATTCTGATATCACTAATAGAAGCTGGAGCCCGTTTGGCAGCAGCCGGCAAAAACTACGAGATGACATTAGCTCAGCTATCAGCAGCATTGGACGAGCCCCAGCGACCTCACCAAAACATCGTACAAGTCATAACTCCTGAGGAGATCGCTTCTAAATTCAATCTTATAGAGGAAACCACGTCAGTAGCATCGACAGCCACTAAAACGGATGGCCAAGAGTTATTCAAACGCGCCGAACACTTGCAGAGGTTTTTAGAGAAGTTCCGAATTTGGAGATCGAAAATTGCTGACCCTCCTAACACAGAAGCTGTGACAGCGTTAAAAGATCTTGGTTTCTCCTTCGAAGAAGCGGACAAAGCATTACGTTTCACAGGCTGCAACGTGCCTGCTGCTGCATCTTGGTTAATTGGGGAACGTGGTTCGAGCGTTTTCGAATTGATCAACGGCTTACCCGATGGCTTAATATTGCAATCTCTATTGAAGCAGCCTCAGATCCAACGTGGTCTGCTGAATACGAGGATGCTGATAGCGTTCATAGCGATGGTGGGGCAAACCGGCACCGCTTCGTTATGGCTCAATTCTCCCCACGGAAGTCCTCTGCTTTCTCAGATTTCAAGAACTTACCACTCGGAGAAGTACTGCCTGGCTGTCAATCAGTTTTCAGAGACGAGACGGGAGCGTTCTTCATCATCACCTTCCACATCCAGACAAAGGAATTGACTTATGGTTTTATTAACTTTTTGAGAAATTGTTACGTAATATTTACTGGTAAATAAAACGTGTTTGTGCTATTATTGTTACAAATGATATGTTAATTTTAAACTTTCACGTTATTTACTCAATTCAATTTTTCAATTCCATTCAATTTATTCTATAACAATATTACATTGTGTTAAATTTGATAGGATATTTAGACAGTACAAGTGCAAAATCACAAATATGCAACAATTTTACATATTAACAATGTCACATATAAATAAGATAATAATAATTAGTCTGAATTCATGAATTAATAATAATAACACATACACAATCGGGACTTAAGGCGATGAAAAAGCTTTTACAGGTACATAAATAGTACTTACATACCTGCTTCTTTATTAACGTTTCGACGTGGATTACACCACGTCGTGGTCACGACAGGGCTGAAGTGAGCGGCGTCTTCGTCTGGCAGCTCGCGTAGAGTCCTCGGGTACCCTCACATTGTCACCATTACTGTCTAGAGCCACCCTACACACCGCATTCACGGTATCCAAACTGCGTTTAAACAAATCACCGCGTGTTTTTAGTGTAGGTCTTACTACTTGATCACTGGGTTCCATGCTGGTGAAAGCCAATTTTTTTTTATACAACAGAATGGCAAACAAGCTGACGACCCACCTAATGGTAAGTGGTAACACGTGTAAGTAGTAACCGTCGCCTATAGACATGAGTAGTACCATGGACATAACAAAGTATACTGTTTCGCCCATGATACCCCCCATGCGTTGCCATTCCTGAGGACTCAGATGTTATTCCTTTGTACCCTGTAAATTCATGCCATATCCCACCCTTCAAATCGAAACACAGCCATGCAAATACAACTGCTTCACGGTAGAAACACGAATGGGACAGAGGTGCCCAAGCAATTGACCTTTGTACAAAGTCTCCCTCTGGTGAATCTAAGCCTATACCCATCTTCCTTATTGAAATAAATAAAATTTAAATAAATTAATATGGTACTAGAAATTTACTTCGATTTTAATTTACACCAAAATTTTATGAGTACCTTAGACTTATATCTTTCATCATCCCAAATGATGATAAGACGTCTAGAAGTAAGGAGAAATGAAGGGACAATATGGTAATTACCAAGCAGATGGCACCAAATAAATGGCTAAAATTTAACTTCTGTATTACTTATTGTAAAACACGATCACACCTTACTCTGCTAATGTTAAAAATCTTTGACTATTTTTTTTATACTACTGGTGGTAGGTGGCAAACAAGCATACGGCCCACCTGATGGTAAGCGGTTACCGTAGCCTATAAACGCCTGCAATACCAGAGGTATTACGCGCGCGTTGCCGTCCCTAAAAACCCTTAACGTAGCTTTAAGCTGATTTATTGACTTTCATCGATATTTATACAATGTAAAAAACAAACTTTTATATTTTTAGTATTTTTTAATGATATTTAGAATGGCAAACAAGCTAGCGGACCACCTGGTTAAAAGCGGTAAACATCATTTATAGACATGATCAGCACCATGTTCATTACCAAATACACTCTCATGTACATGGTACCCCTAATGCGAGGAGGAGGGATTCTTAATAATGCGGACTACCAATACCATTGCTAGCAATATATTCTGTCAGGTCCACCTCCACGTGGTCCTATCTGGAATGCATCGTGCTGAGTCCTAGGTGTATTCATCACGATGGGCTAACTGACCTGCCTTATCATTCTAGACTGTCTTCCCTCACTGGTTCCCCGCCAGCGTATACCATTAGCGCAGGCAGGGTTACCATTCCATTATCATTAGAATAAAGGTACCCCTAATGCATTGCCATTCTTTTTTTTTAATATTATTTTAAGGGCTTTTACCTTCTTCATGTATATCAGCCCTATCGTACGCTAAACTGATTTCTCAAACAAAACTTTATCTACCTTCCGTAGACGCGGAAAGAGAAGAATTAATGGGCATCAATAATTTACAGAGATGTTCGAAAATTTCTGGTTTAAGTTCAGCTAACATAGTTTGAATAAGACCAACATTCAATTTATTTAAGTTGAAGTGGCGCATGAATTCTTCTCTTTCCTTCGTGTTAATACGACACTCTAATAGAATATGATGCACATCATCGATGGTATTACAAGTTTGACAATGGGGTGACAAGGACTTTCCCATCAACATTGCCATTCTTGAAGACTAAGATTTTACGCTTCCATACTCTCTAATTTTACTGCTATATTTTACCCTTGCCTTTCAAACTGAAACACATCCATGCAAGCATAACTACTCCACGGCAGACGACTTACGTACAGCACCCCCCCCCCCCCCTCCATGCCTAAATTAATAAGGATAAACATCAATGGTACAGGAAAGTTCCAAATCTCTACTGGAGCGGCGGAGATGTGATACACAACAGTGGGTACGGATGTTACGCGCAGCGTGGACGCCTAATGCCGATTGGGGCTGAAAACTACCACTTCCCACACTCGATGCCAGGTACTAGTAATCACGAGAAGCAGTTTAGTGGCCTTCTAACAGAACACTGTGAAGGGAGAATGTTTAAATAGATGATAATGAAGTTGTATTTTTTCTTTTTGATGGGTAAAAATGGTATGGTAACCCCGCCTACGCTAACGGGATACGCTGACGGAGCACCAGTGAAGGGTGATTGATGAGAATGAAAACAGGCCAGTTAGCCCATCATGATGAATTCATCAGGAATTAACCATGATAGTTTCCAGGGAGAACTGCGAGGAGGTGACCTGGTTGGGTATATTGCTAGCAATGGGATTCTCAGTCTCCATTACTAACAATCCCTTTCCCCCCTACACTGGCGGGGTACAAGTGAGGAAAGATAGGTGAGTTTGAAGGAATGAATTCACCAGAAATTATTCACAATGTTATTTTATGGCTCATAGATATGTTGTTTTATTGTTTCCTCCAAAAGATTACAGCAGTCAATTTATTATAAATAGATACAAACAATTACAAAAAAATGTTTACACTGAAACGGCCTTATCACTAAAAGCGATCTCTTCCTGGCCTTTGGATGGAAGGGAGTAATTATAAACAATTTGGTGGGGGCACGATGAAACATTCTGTTAATTCTAAATATGGAGACGTGATACATGATAAAAGTCGATTGCTTGGGTACCTCTGTCCCATTCGTGTTTCAACTGTGAACCAGTTGTGTTTGCATGGCTGTGTTTCGGTTTGAAGGGTGGGATATGGCGTGAATTTACTGGGTACAGAGGAATAACATCTGAGTCTTCAGGAATGGCAACGCATGGGGGGTATCATGGGCGAAACAGTATACTCTGTTATGTCCATGGTACAGCTCATGTCTATAGGCGACGGTTACCACTTTCCATCAGGTGGGCCGTCAGCTTGTTTGCCATTCTAAGTTGTATAAAAAAAAACATGTAATAATATAAATATATATCCCTACTCATTATTATATGTAATGCATATTACGATAATGGAATGGTAACCCCGCCTGCGCTATCGATGTACGCTAGTGAGGTGCCAATAAGAGATATATAATCTCTAACGACGAAACAGGTCAGTTGGCTCGTCGTGACGAATTCATTAAAAATAAATCATGATGGTTTCCCGGGAGAACCGCGTGAGGATCGACCTGATGATATTAATTGTTAGCAAAATTAAGTCTTATTACTTTTCATGTTAAGGTCTACTATCGATGCGCGTGAGTAGCGACGATGAAGTGTGTGGCATTTTCAACATCACCTTCAAGCCACTGCCTCAATTTGATCTTCGGAACGTTGTCTTCGGGAGAGTTAGTATTTAATCCTACCAGTATATTACAAGAACGAAAGAATGCAAGAAGAAAAGAAAGAAAGAAGGAAAGAAATAAAGAAAGAAGAAAAGAAAGAAAGAAGGAAAGAAAGAAAGACAGAAGGAAATAAAGAAAGAAAGAAGGAAAGAAAGGAGAAATTTAAGAAGGAAAGAAAGAAAGTCATCAGGATAGAAAGAAGGAAGGAAGGAAAGAAAGAAAGACAGAAGGATAAAAAGAAAGAAAGAAAGAAAGACAGAAGGAATGAAAAAAGAAAGAAGGAAAGAAAGAAACAAAGAAAAAGTAAAAATGCCATAAGCACGCGTACAAGTTGACCTAACTCGTGCCATTAAATTCTAGTGCTATGCCTCTGAATCCCGTAATTTTCAGTGCCATATCCCATGCGTCCCTCTTAAAATATTACCAATGCCTAACTGCAGTTGCTAACACGACTACCAAGCGTGGTATCTACTAGCAAAATTTCTCAAGTTTAGCAGCAAACAGTTAATGGCTGTATCATCCCCAGTTGTGACATTTTTTTTTGATGGGTGAAAATGGTATGGTAACCCCGCCTGCACTAACGGGATACGCTGGCGGAGCACCAGTGAAGGGTGATAGATGAGAATGAAAACAGGCCAGTTAGCCCATCATGATGAATTCATCAGGAATTAACCATGATAGTTTCCAGGGGGAACCACGAGAAGGTTGACCTGGTTGGGTATATTGCTAGCAATGGGATTCTCAGTCTCCATTACTAACAATCGGGCATTCTAATACCGGGAGTACTAATGTAGATGTTTTTAATTTGTGAATATTTTCCGATTTGTTTTTTAATACGTGATAATGTAATGGTAAACCCGCCTGTGTTGGACAAAAGAGAGGGACGAAAGTAAGGATGAAAGCAGAGGGCCTACCACGAAATGTTTTCCGAAATTTCGGAGCGAAACGAAACACAAATTTGATATTAAAATTACATAATACATGCCTGTTTGGAAATATTAAAAATGTTAAAATGTTGTTACTTTGGATTTTTATGATAGGATGTGTGACGAACGAAATGTTCAACTCCATTTATTGGCCCGATTTTGGTATAAACAAAAACACGAAATTGAGTCCGAAATTTCGGAATTTTATTTCATGGTAGACCAGCTGGTCAGTTGATCCTACATGACGAATTTCAGAAGAATGAACCACGATGGTTTCCAGGAGGAACCGCGTGAAGAGAAACCTGAAAATGGAAAGAAATGGACCCATGGATATTATTCCTTCCCCTTCAATATTTCCAGATTATCCGTCCGTGCAAAACCTACGAGGCTATTCGGGAATTGGGTTCACCGCTTAGTACTCGACCTATCGTCGAGATGACTGCAGCTCGGCATCGCGTCGATGGCCGCTGGGTGTACGGACAACCTAACACTAAGATCTAATTTTTTTTGTGATATAATTAATGTTTCGACTATATTCAGTGTTATTTAATAATTTAAATACTTTTTAATAAGAGTATTAATTCGATGTCATTTAATTTTATTAATCATATTTCTTACTTTTCTCCTCTAACTAAAGGTCATCTGAGAAATTGCTTAACAATAAGATCGAATATATATATATATATATATATATATATATATATAAATTTAGATTTAGACATGTTCATGTTTCACATTTACCAACTCACATCCTCACATTGGTAAGTCCTAAGATTTACTACTAAAAGATTTACCAATGTATGGAATTTTACAGTAACATAGATATACTACATATGTTTACACATATATTTTATTATTTTTTAATTGTATGAATGAACGAATAACAAATTGTTTAAGCCATAAGGCGCCAAGGAGCATCAAACAAAATTCACTATTACATTTGTAAGGAGAGGGACTCACCAGAGGGAAACTTTGTACAAAAGTCGATTGCTTGGGTACCTGTGTCCAACTCGTGTTTCAACCGTGAACACCAGTTGTGTTTGCATAGCTGTGTTTCGGTTTGAAGGGTGGGATATGACGTGAATTTACTGGGTACAGAGGAATAACACCCGAGTCCTCAAGAATGGCAACGCATGGGAGGTATCATGGTCGAAACAGTATACTCTGTTATGTTCATGGTACTGCTCATGTCTATAGTTGACGGTTACCACTTTCCATCAGGTGGGCCGTCAGCTTGTTTGCCATTCTAAGTTGTATAAAAAAAAAAGATTAAATATAAAGGTATTATAAATTAATAACACAGATTCTATTATTAGGCTTTATTTAGTGGGTCTTTTAAATCAGTCTACATTGCTTGAAATTAACATTTTTCGAGTGTGGAAAACATAATTTTATCATTATACCTAATAATTTTACAACAAATAAACATAATCAGAGAAACGCGAGTTGATCACACCGAAAGATCCGTACATAAAATAATCTGCCTTAATTTTTTTTATTAAACAAAAAACATTTAGCAGTACCAATATATAATTATTTATTTCTACACTACATTTGTCAATTTTAATTCGTATTTACTAATAAAAAAGATTCAAAGTACAATGTATTTATAATTTTCATTTGTTTTTAAATAAACATAAAAAATATTGAAAGTTATTGATTCATTTTCGAAAACTGACAAATTCCAATGTTGCCGCACCTCGATAACTCTCTTAATGGTGTAGAAAAAGGACAGCGATATGTCTTCTGTAAGTATGAATAGGACGGGCGTATAGCTTCACTTACAAATAAGAGAACTTTTGTCCATCGCCAAGGTTTTTGTAGATTTGATGCAAATGTTTGATTCCAGTATGCTACAAATATTGTTGCAAATATGGGTTCAAACATTTGATCATCAAACACATGAATACAAATTGTCACTTTACACTATTAACATGTTTTATTACTCTGTGATGCTAAAAAATGATGATAAAAAAAATATCTGTCATGCTTAGTTAACTTAAATTAGCTTACTCTAACTTAACAACATTAAACAGAGGGAGACTTTGTACAAAAGTCGATTGCTTGGGTACCTCTGTCCCATTCGTGTTTCAACCGTGAAGCAGTTGTGTTTGTATGATTGTGTTTAGGTTTGAAGGGTGAGATATGGCGTGAATTTACAGGGTACAGAGAAATAACATCTGAGTCCTCAGGAATGGCAACGCATGGGGGGTATCATGGGCGAAACAGTATACTCTGTTATGTCCATGGTACTGCTCATGTCTATAGACGATGGTTACCACTTTCCATCAGGTGGGCCGTCAGCTTGTTTGCCATTCTAAGTTGTATAAAAAAAAACAGGCGAAATTTAAGTATGCGAGTATGTATTTTACATACATCTCAATAATAATTATGTACAAACAAGAAAAAACTAGCATTCAAAAATCGTACACTATTTTAACAGTGAAAGAAAAACGGTAGAGATCGCAAACAGCAGTATAATAATGGACAATGCATTATACTCTGCAACACGTCGTAGTATGGTGTGGATGAGAGCTAATATTTTAATGTAGTCTTTAGCGATGTTGTAGTGATGATGCGAGTGCGAGCCTGAGGGTTAAGGGTCACGAATTGATAACGAAACTAGTCGAGCTTTATCGATTTAAATATACGTAAGTTAAACCGGTGTGTTATTACATTAAAATATAATGTGTACTTATAAAAGCTGATTATATATATATATATATATATATATTAGTTTTTACTGCTAACTGCAAATTATTACCTGACGGAAAGTGGTAACCGTCGCCTATAGACACGAGCAGTACCATGGACATAACAGAGTATACTGTTTCGCCCATGATACCCTCCATGCGTTGCCAAAACATAATTATCAATGTCTAATGTTATTTCTGTGCTGTAAGTAATGGAAAGAAATCATATATGTATTTATCTATTATGCCTATAAATTCACTCCCATATCTCATTTCAATGTGAAACACAGCCATGAAAAGTATAGCTGCTTCAAAACAGCAACACGAGTTGGACAGAGTTATTAACGCGGACGACTTTTGTACAAAGTCTCCTTTCCCTCTGGAAAATTACAATCAAACCATTTGTTAAATCCGTAAGTTACTTTTCATTTACCTTTTTCTATAGTTTTATCAATCTGTCACTTACACCATACTACAACGCACGCAGTGCAATGGCCAATATTGGAACTAGCATTGTATCCAATGTTGGGTCAAATACCAATTAAGGAACATTACTAATGATATGTATTGTACATTGTATGAACACGTTGGTACGCGCCTCACATGCCTAGATGTAAGTCGTCTCGTGTCTTGTGTTTGAGGTACTTGAAGATTTTCCTAAAAAAAAAAAAAAACAAAATAATAAATAAAAATGCTGTGTAGTCCAGTACAGAGTAGGCTTAAGAGGGAGGCTTATGTCCACCAGTGGACATTTAATGACCGATATGAGAATGAAAGTGTAGTCCATTCTTTTGTAGTATAGTATACTTAACTATAGTGTACTTCAATGTAATATAGTATACTCTACTGTACTATAATGTACTGTTCTGCAGTATAATGTATTTTACTATAGGGTAATGCATTCTTGTGTAATTATAGGGCAGTTTACCGTAGTGTACTCCACATAATATGATATACTCTACTGTACTGTATTGTACTGTACTGTAGTGCATTGTTATGTAATTATAGGGCACTTTACCGTAGTGTACTGCAATGTAGTATAGTATACTGTAGTGTATGGCACTGTAGTGCAGTGTACCAGTGTACTGACCAGACGGCGGTGGGCACGTGCCCCCAGCCGGGCCGCGCGGCGACCAGCAGCCGCTGCAGCGGGCGTGCGGGCAGCGGCCGGCCGCCGAGCACGCTGCTCAGCTGCGGCGCGGCCGCCCGCGGCCACGGCGCGCCGCCCGCCCGCTCCACTACCAGCTCCATGCGCATGCGCACCTCCCATACGCAACGCATCGCCATGTTCGCCACCTGTGCCACGGATCATGTTTAATAATAACAAATAGATTTATTTTAACTTTACAATTAATCACAGTTAAATACAATGATGAATGCTTACCAGAGGGAGACTTTGTACAAAAGTGGATTGCTTGGGTACCTCTGTCCCATTCGAGTTTCAATCGTGAAGCAGTTGTGTTTGCATGGCTGTGTTTCGGTTTGAAGGGTAGGATATGGCGTGAATTTACTGGGTACAGAGGAATAACACCTGAGTCCTCAGGAATGGCAACGCATGGGAGGTATCATGGGCGAAACAGTATACTCTGTTATGTACATGGTACTGCTAATGTCTATAGGCGACGATTACCACTTTCCATCAGATGGGTTGTCAGCTTGCTATTCTAAGTTGCATAAAAAAATATTAAAGTAATCAAATTATAAATATAATTGTGAGGGATTGGTGCCTGAGGTAGGTATAGGAATACCTGTATTACAGGTCACCAGGGCCTCACTCCGCAGGGTTACTTACTAAGTACTTGTAATATAATAAGTGAATTCAATGTAACAAATATTATATCTTAGGATGCAATATGGCAGTAAAATAACATTGTATGGAGGAATGAAACCTTAATGCCCTCACTCATAAAAACTAAAACCTTATACAAATCTAGTTTAATTACTTTTTTGTTTTTATACTACTGAATTGGCGAACAAGTATACGGCCCACCTGATGATAAACGGTTACCGTAGCCTATGAACGCTGACAATACCAGGGGAAATTACGCGCGCATCGCCGACCCTGAAGAAACTTAATTTATCTATTACATCATTCCTCACTGGTACCTAGCCAGTGTATACCGATAGTGCAAGCAGGGTAGTCATTCCATTAATAGGCCTATGGTTTTTTTATGGAGGATAATGGGATGGTAACCCCGGCCGTGCTAACGGTATACACTGGCGGAGCACGAGTGAAGAATGATAGGTGAGAATGAAAAGGCAGGTCATTTAGCCCACCGTGATGAATCTAAGAATAAATTAATCACAATGGTTTCCAGGGGGAACCACGTGGAGGTCGACTTAATAGGGTATATTGCTAGCAATGAAGGTCCCCATTACTAACAATCCCTCCTCCCTTTATAATCTAAGGTTATTCGACTATACCCTTACTTACTGTGAAAGTTGTAGGTGAACCTTATTAAATAGGGGGGAAAGGAATTGTTAGTAATGAGGTCTAATAACCCCGTTGCTAGCAATTGACCCTCTCAGGTCGACCTCCACGCGGTTCCCCCTGGAAACCATCATGGTTAATTATTGTCGAACTCATCACGGTGGGCCAACTGACCTGCATTCATTCTCGCCTATCGTCTTCCACTGGTGCCTCGTCGGTGTATACCGATAGCGCAGGCGAGGTTACCATTCCATTTTCATCTATTAAAAAAAAACCTTATTAAATAAACAAAAAAATAAGTACCCTGAGCGTCAAGCAGCAGTCGTCGGTAAGCGTGTAGGCGAGGTGCATTCTTGCCTCGTGCATGGCGCGGCCCCAGCGCAGCGCCACCCGGGCTACAGCGGCGCAGCGCCGCAGCAGGCCGGGCACATCACCAGCTCGGCCGCAGCCTTCGCCCACCACGTACCGCATCGCCTCCATCGCGAACCCCACGCACAGGCTCGCCACCGAATTCTTCTTATCTGGTCATTGTAATCAACAAAATAAAATCTAAGACGGAGTAGTTACGGAGTGCTCAGTCCTTAGCTTCGTTTAAAGGACATGTCTAATCACATTTTCTCTCACTGTACTTACTATTTGTCATTGTACTGTTATATTTTACTGGATTCGTCATATTTACTTGTGTTTGCTATATATATATTTATATATGAATATTTTATCACTCACACACGCACACACGCACGCACGCACGCACACATAAACGGACGCACGCACACACGGACGCACGCACACACGGACGCACGCACACACGGACGCACGCACACACGCACACACATACACACACACGCACACATACACGCACGCACGCACGCACACACACACATACACGCACGCACACACACACACACACACACACACACACGCACGCACGCACTCACGCACGCACGCACGCACGCACGCACGCACGCACGCACGCACGCACGCACGCACACACACGCACGCACGCACGCACGCACGCACGCACACACACACGCACGCACGCACGCACGCACACACACACACACACACACACAAACACATTTTATTTTGTTTAGTATATTCGGTTTTGCAAATTTTAAAAACGAATGGTGTACATGGTGTCCGAATTGGGGGCCTGGATTTCTGAGATACAGATCTCTGATCTAGTTTACGGTATTTTTTTTCATGTAACTGTAATTTTCTGTAAAATTTGTGGAGAAAATAAATTTTAAAAAAAAGTAAGTTTATGTATATATTTAAATCTGTATTTTAAAGTATCGTGTAAAGCTAGTTAGAAATGAACCTACCGTTCGCATGATACGTGGTATCTACGGTGGCGCTGAGCACGGGCGTGTCCGCCCGGACCCTGGTGCGCGTAGAGTCGTGGTGGCGGTGCTCGAGGCGGACAGTCAACCGCAACCGGCCGTGCAGCAGCCTGAACGACCACATGTCCGCGCCCGATGACTCCCACTCGCATTCGTGGCTCCTGTACACAGTAAAATATACATATATATATTAGAGGTAGGGTGTCAGGGGTGTCCTTATCTAGGAATCTGTCCAATTTTAGAATAAGGGTATACGGGTATGCGACCCCAGCCTCCCGAGCCGCTGCAGTGTCCTTCCCCCTTTTCTTTCCCACATAAGTCCCTTATTCCTGTCATTTACTACTTACGACACCCACGAGAATGGAAGGTTAGTTTATAATATTAGTAAAAATTAAAAATCTTACCCCATAAAAGGAAGCATGTCGATCTTCGTAACTACATTGGCGCTCGATTCGCATTCGCTAACGTCGACACTCGACTCGTGCGACACTTCTGGCCGCCACAACGACCGGTACTCCCTCTGTTGGCTCAACATCGTTTCGGCATTGCTCGACGTCGTCACAGCACTATCCTGCTCTCCCACACGCATCTCCATCTGATTCTTACTGCTTGTAAACGAACTAACTATATCTGGGCTCTTAACACTTACATCCGATTGTACTGTGTTCGGTGCCTTTGAATTACACTTGTTTAATTCCTCCAAAATCTGCTTGTTCAGCTCTTGATCTACCTTCGGATTTATATCATACTTTGTCACCAATTGCCGTACAGTCACATCTGTTAATGGCTTTTTATGTTTCTGTCTAGATTTCGATGGAGACTTTATTCCTTTTGTTGATTTTACATCTAATTTCGATTCTATCTTCGTATCGAAGTTTTCTAGTTCTTCTTTCATATCGGATTTAGATTCATCCTTCTCTGCGGTAGCTATCAACTTTTCGGGTGATAAATTTAGTTTACTGCCAATATTTTTCGATGTATTTGGAGTGTTAGACGTTTTCTGCATCTTACTAACCGGTTTCGGTGTAATATCTATGGTCGACAGCGTACGGTTATCATATTTATCCTTATTTGATGGACTGTAATTCCTTTTTTTGGGATTATTCATTATTTTTATTGATTTATTTTGTTCTTCGTCATTGGATGTGAGATCTGAATCGATTTTATCTAATGCGTTAGGTATTTGTTCTTGCTTGTATATTATTTTAACGAGCGATTGGCTTTCTCTTTTGGATACGTCATTTTTCGAAGCAGTGGCTCTAGTATCAAGATTAATATCGAAAATGCTACGTGCATGCGCATCGTCCACTAATGTAAGAGACGAATTGGCTTCTAAAAGTTCCTTGTTCCCTTTCATAGCAATCACAGTGTTGACTTCTGTATTTTTGACCTCCGTGGCTTCAACATCTGTACTCTGATCAATAGACTGTGGTTTGCTGATATTAGAAATTAAACTTTCGGTGTTTGGTATTTCAGAGTCGGTATCGCCTGATTGTTTAACTGAATGTAACAAATTAACACTTTCTACTTTGCCGTGAGTGGAAATATGCTTGTTATTCAGTTCTTCTGAAGAATATTGCACGGATTGATCCCGATCGGAACCACATAAAGTCTCACTAGATTTGCTAGGGTTATATCTATGGACTTCAGGATACTCTGTCGGAACAAGTAACACATTGTTCAGCGGATTTTCGTGGTCAAAGACTAGAACTTTACCGGGCACGGTCTGTTCAATCGACAATCGCTTAGGACGGAAGGAAACTTCTTTGAGATCATCTACTATCATCTCAGATTCTGATGGTAACGTTTGTTTCATACAACTTTTATAGGGCGATGTCTTATCAACATTAAATGTTCTTGAGGGAATAGATGTTTTGTCGAGATCGAAAGCTGACTCTGTATTAGAATATAATTCAATGTCCATATCAACTTGGCTTGACGTGATCAGATTTGCTTGGATTTGTGTGCTGCATGTTGAGGGACTTTTTTTAACACATTTATCTATATCAACTGTATCGAATGGTAATACGTCAGCCATGGGCTTGACTAAATCGGTCATAAGTGCTTTTAATCCATCTGAGACATCCTTTAAATAGCTCGGTATGACTTTTGCCTTGCTCTCTTTCATATAAGTTGTCTCACCAAATGCAGTTTTTTTCAAAGGCGAGACTTGTGTATCAGATTTGATACTGTTTTCGCTTACTGAATCATCTTCGAAATGCAAGGTTTTTACCACTTCATTACTGACTCGAATAGATTTTTTATGAGATGTACATTCTTCCATTGGCGTGTCGATAGTTTCATCAATGCTGTCACTCTCATCCATATCTATTGACATCTGCAATGCTGCCTGAGCCATTGATATGTTTTTTATTAAATCCTCTCTACTAATGACTATAGATTTTCTTGGTGCAATACTTAAACGTTCCAGCTCAACTATACTAGATTTATTTTCTAAAGCAATATTGCCTTTCACCTTTTTGGGTAACATTTCTTCAGTCTCTTTCCTATCAACTGAATTTCGCCTGTCAGTAAAATCAGAAAGCATGTCTAGCAACTCCTTAGTATTGTCCGCTTCTTTGAAGCTTTTAGAAAATTTAGAAACATCTAATCTCTGTGATTTATTCGAATTTCCTTTTTCTACATTTAGATCAGAACTAACAATTTTCTTATGATGTCTGTTGTTCAACGGACTCTTTTCTTTTATAGAATCTTTAGATGCATATAATGATTTTTGCAGATCATTAACTATCTCAGGAATTATTTCTTCTTTGTATTCCAACGGTAGAGATGGATTTTGTAACTTAGGCAATTCTTTGGTTAACATTAAACACTTCTCACCCTCAACTGGTTTAGAATTGTCATCTATATTTTCTTCGTTTTCCACTGTCTGAGCTCCTTCTTTATCTTTTCTTATTATGAAAATTTCACTTGATGAACTTTCTGTATTAGTTTTTACTGAAGTACAATTTGATGGTTTCTCAGTCATTAAGTTTTTATCTTCCATAGCAGATTCCATAGAAGCATCTGACATATCTAATAGATCCTTAAGGATAGATTTTGTTTCCAGTTCAATGTTTTGTGCTATTTCATTATCAGGTTGGATTTTGGTTTCTATATTTATTGTTGATCTGGATAACGATTGAGGTGTTTCATGGATATTTTTAGTATTTATCGACTGATTATTTGACATTGTTTGGGTAATTACTTCATTTATTTCGTCTTCATGATCACTCATTGGTATAGCTTCTACAAAATCATTGGCATTTTCTAATTTTATACGCGAGCTCATTTTATTACAGGTATTAGATGCTGGTTCCTCTAGTTTTGAGTAACCTTTTTCTATTTCTGTCTGTATTTTTGGTGAACTTTGTTGTACATGAGTGACTGCTTGGTATACCAAAACGTCTTGATTGGCACTATTCATTACCACTTGTTCATAACTCGAATTGTTTGTGGGTTGATTTAGATCTGCAACATTATTCTTTTTTGATGTATCCAGTATTTCGTTTTGAATGGATATTATTTTAGCAAGTATTGGTTTAGTCATTGATAAATTACTAGTTTCGTCGTGATATGTAATCGTTTTTTTTTTCTCTGGTTCTATTATATTATTTTTTATTAATTTTTGAGGTACTGTTGCAGTGACAGACATGTCGGCATTATCATTATCTGCTTCAAATACTATCGTTTTTCTTTTAATATCCATTTGCTTCTTAGACATTTCAATTATAGGAGCATTAATATTATCAGAAGCCTTTTTACACTGTCCATTTATTTCTTCCGATAAAAAATTATTATAATTTACTTGTGTGACAGATACATTATTATCATGGATAATAGTTTTACTGTTTTTAGAACTTGTTTCATGAGTATTGGACAAAATTATATTCGTAGGTATAACTTGTGTGACCGATATGTTCGTTGTATCATTTTCACAGACAATCGTTCTTCTTTTGTCATTTGATTCAATTTTAGATGGCGTTGAATGGAGTTGAGATATCACTTCCATTTCACTATGACTAATAGAGTTTTTCTTTTCTGATAATAATGTTGTTACTGGATGTATATTTGTAGGAACAGTTTGTGTCATAGATATATCATCATCATTCTTAAAAACTATAGTACATCTTTTTTCTTTGATAAACGAAGGTCGTTTAGATAGGTCTTCATTGGATATTATGATCTTTTCACTCACATCAACTTGAGACGTTTTTATTGTTACTTCTTCTACAATTGTTTTTCTTTGATTTAATATGATATTTGAAGGCACTGCTTGAGTAACTGATATATTACTCTTGTCATTTTCATAGTCTGTTCTTCTTTTTTCAGATGTCTCAGTTTTTGGTAAAGAAACATTATGATCGACAGCTTGTGTGAGAGAAATATCTGCCATATCATCAGAATAAAATACAGTTTTAATTTTCTTAGATTCTTGACTATTAGGCAATATAATGTTTGAAGAAATAGCCTGAGTTACAGAAATATCGCCAGTATCATTTTCATAAATTACTGTTTTACGTCGTTCTTCGTTTTTATTGGACAATATAAGATTTGAGGGAACTGCCTGCGTCATGGAAATATCGCATACATCATTATCATAATTTAGTGTTTTATTCTTATCTATATTGACTGCTAAAATGTTAGTAGGAATTGCTTGTGTCATTGAAATTTCGCCCAAATCACTCTCGTATATGATCGTTTTTCTTTTATCAGGCATATGTAAATTTTCATTTTGAGACATAATATTTGAAGGTAAAGCCTGTGTTATTGATATATTGCTTGTGTCATTCTCATAAACTATTGTTCTCCTTTTTTCTGTAGTTTCTTTTTTATTAGGTATGATGATATTTGAAGAAACTGCTTGCGTAATAGATATATTTCCAGTATCATTTTCGTAAACAACAGTTCTTCTTCTTTCAGGATCTATATTATTTTTTTCAGACAGTATAATATTTGAGGGCACAGCTTGAGTAACTGATATATTTCCAGCATTTTCTTCATAAAGAATCGTTTTTCTTTTCTCCGATATAGGATTAGATAAAGCCTGTGATAGAGATAAGTCATCGTCATCATACAGCATACTATGTTTGCTGATATTTCTTGAAAGAGAATGCGATGACACTTCTCCGAAATTGGGTAAATCGTCATTTACATTGATTACTACAGTTTTCCGTTTTGTGCTATAAGATGAATTTTGCTGATAACTTTTTTTTGTACCTAAAACAGCATCTGCTTCTTTACCAGACTGCACAGTCAATCGTTTTCCATCAAAAACCAGAACTTTATCGGATTCCTCATTTATAGCAAAATTAAGAGTTTCCTTCGGAGTGATATAAGGATTAATTGCAATATTCTCTTTATCGCAAACCCAATCATCATTATAGTTAGTCTTTAGATTAACTTGGCTGGAGTTGCTGATTTTGGATACATCTTGAACTTTTGGACAACGAATTGTATCAGTTATAGACATGTCTGACTCTTCATCTCTTAAATTGGCATGTGTCACATTTAAGTCCACTTCTATATACTCAGATATATCCCTGCCACCTTTAAAATAATCAAGACCTACAACATTATTCTTCTTTTTCATTAAATCTCTCTGTATTTCATCCAAATCGTCTTTATCATCACCTCCAATGGTTTGCATTGTTGAGAAATTGACATCAATTTTACCTGACATTTCACCCATAGTGGGTATAATAAGGTCATCGCCAAATACCTTGCTCTGATGCTCTGTAAAGGCGCTTAGCTCGAAATTATTGTTGGGCATTGGTAATTTATTATCAGCACAGTCTAAAGATACTAACTGTTCCGTAAAATTGGCATTGTTAAACGAAGAGTTAACATTTCTATTGGTAAGAGTATCGAGTGACGTGAGGAAATTTTCTACTTCCACTTCTTCGAACTGTTGATCAAAGATACGTTTGCCTAAGTGTCCGATAGGTGGCCGCAGCGCATGACCTTCCGAGTCATTACCTGACGACTCCAATGTTTTATTGTGTTCTTCGTAAAAGTTTTTCCAAGTTGTCGTCGCTTCGTTCGTTACGAATTCTCTGGGGAATTGAAAAATAACTGTTATATTGTTCAGGCCACGTATAACTAAAAACCACGTATAAATAAAACACATTCATCATCATCAACAATCATCATATCAGTCTTTAACTGTCCACAGATGAACATAAATAAGCCTTGGGGGTTTAGACATAATTGCCACGCTTGGCAAGCGGATTGGCAGCCACAGTTAGGCTTTAGAAACGTTTTAAGAAGGGCGTTGCTGCCCTTCCATAGTCGCCTGTTACGATACCCACGAGAAAGGAAGTGGTGGCCTATTCTATGCCGGGACCACACGGCGAACATATTAACTATAAAAAAACATATTAGTTTTTAACAATTTACAGTGGGCCTGTATACATAAAAGTTGCAATCTTTTCAACAAGGAATACACAAGATATTTTTGATATTGCACGTGGTTTGACTATATTAACTTTTCGACTTTCACATTGCATAGGTTATGGTTTATGAGAAATAGGAATAACTGTTTAATTGATCAGTTTATTTGATGGGCCAAGACCTTTTAATAACGGTCCATATCTACTGTCCCAAGGTTTGTATCTACCTACAAAGTTTGTTCATATCTACAAATGACCAGAGAAATGATGAATGAGTTACCACTTACCATCTGTATGTTTACCCTTGAATAATAATGAAATTTTGACATTTATTTACTGCATTCAGATTGTGATGATCACATAGCACTGAACAAATTTTATCACTTCATGGGAATCACCTTCACCAAGTTGTATATATACATCTTAATTTTAATATATAACAATCTCGTATCAGGATGTTTAACCAATTTTAATGAAGTTTTGTAAATAAATGTGTGTTGATTGGCATTTGCAATACCTAATATCTTTTTTTTATACAACTTAGAATGGCAAACAAGCTGACGGCCCACCTGATGGAAAGTGGTAACCGTCGCCTATAGACATGAGCAGTACCATGGACATAACAGAGTATACTGTTTCGCCCATGATACCCCCCCCCCCCCTTGCATTGCCATTCCTGAGGACTCAGGTGTTATTCTTCTGTACCCAGTAAATTCACGCCATATCCCACCCTTCAAACCGAAACACAGCCATGCAAACATAACTGCTTCACGGTTGAAACACGAATGGGACAGAGGTACCCAAGCAATCGATTTTTGTACAAAGTCTCCCTCTGGTAAAAAATATCTATTGGCAAAGGAATCCCTGACACATTTAAGAGCGTTCAGAACTTTTACCATTACCTTCAGTATGAAGGTGATAAGACAACGTCACAGTTCAGATAATTGCGACATTTTGCAATGTTTCTAATTAGACGTACTCAAAACTTTGTACCTACTTCATATTTCAGAATTTCTTAAATACCTTTTCGCCGTTAAAATGCAAATCTTCAGTGACAGCTTAATAAGAATATTACTGCACGATTAATGTTTTAGGCCGCTAGCAAAGAGCACTTTTTAAAAAAAAATATTTATTTCATTATTGCACCATAAATAAAAATATACAATGACAAGTGAATAATTCAAGTGAAATACAGTAACATAAATACAGATTGAAATATACACATAAAGGTACAAAAGGCGGTCTTATCGCTAGGGCAATCTCTTACAGACAACCTTTGGTTAAAGGAGAACAGAAATGGGCAGGTGGCGCAAGAGTGAATTAATAATTTTTCGTGCATAAAATACAAAAGTCTATTAGAAACATTCTTTTTTATCTACTTCGGTGGCAAACAAGCACACGGCCCGTCTGATGGTAAACAAGGTAACCATAGCCTATGGACGCCAATAAAACTAGGGATGTCACGCGCGTTGCTAACCCTTAAGAATTCTTCTACGTCCTTTTTGACGAATCCCATACTGTAGTCTTTAGGGAAAGCCTCGACAAGAAGATCATTCGACATTCTGTGTTCACGAAAAAAAACCCCTCCAAGAAACCGCACTGTGCGTAACCATTCTGGTTCTAAGATATGAGAAGATTAGAAACAATGCAAGATGTTCAATTCTATTCGAATATTGACTATTTATTATACTAATGCGACATTCTCATACTGGCTTAGCAAAAACCGGTTAAGTGCGAGTCGGACTCGCGGAACGAGGTTTCCGTACAGAATCATAAAGTTTAATTTTTTTGTGAAATAGCTGCAAATTAAAGATTTTCGGATTTCCTCCTTTTGTTTGTGCTACACGACATTGTTTCTTGCCAAATTTCACGATTCTAGGTCAACGAGAAATACCCTATTGATTTTGGCTTTGATTCCCTTTGCGAATGTCAAAATATGCGATATAAATGGAACATAAAGAGCCGTATCTTTTGATTGCGTCGATTTAGAAGCTTGATATTTTTCTTGCTTTAAAAGATTGCAGACCTGAGTGTATGATATTAGTTTGAACTTAATACCTCCATGCGTTCCTAAGAAAATGGGTTTTTTTTTATGAGTGATAATGGAATGGTAGCCTCACCCGCGCTATCGGTATACACCGGCGGGGCACCAGTGAAGGATGGTAGGTGAGGATGAAGTAGGTCAGTTAGTCCATCGTGACGAATTCAACAAGAATTGTTCATGATGGTTTCCAGGGGAAACCACGTGGAGGTCGACCTGATATTACTAGCAATGGGGCTGTCAAACTCCATTGCTAACTACCCCTTTCCCCCCAACAAACAGACGGTTGGACAGACAGAAATCGAAGTGATCGTATACGGGTTCCGTTTCTTAGGAGGTACGGAACTCCAAAAATGAGAACATGAAGAAACTCACGCCACTCCAGTTCGCCGAGAGAAACTGACGCGGCGACTTTTTGTTGTGTCGGTGGGTGTTGCAACATTGAATTCCACCTCTGAAAATGGAGTTCGTGGCGGACGCTGACTCTTTAAAATGGACGAACGCCTCTTCCTTCTGTAAGATATTTAAGAATAGGTGTTTGTCATATATATTGATTTTTTTTTTACAACACAGGGGGCATACGAGCATGCGGCTCACCTGATGGTAAGTGACTACCGCCGCCCATGATCACCCACAACACCAGCGGCATTGCAGGTGTGCTGCCGGCCTTTTAAAAAGGAATATACTTTTTTCTTGAAGGTTATGTTGTCGTATCGGTTCGGAAATACTACTGCTGGAAATTGATTCTAAAGAATGGTTGTGCGTGGAAGAAAGTGCCTTGAAAAACGCACGGTGGAAGACCGCCACTCGTCCAGATGATTGGGATGAAACTTTAGTTTGTGGCGGGTTGTACGGTGGTGAAATGGGTGATGTGGGAAACTTTTATACTTTGTTAAATAATAAAGTGTACTAATGTAGGTAGAACATGTTTCAACATGACATAAACTGATTTTTTTTTAATGCAACTTAGAATGGCAAACAAGCTGACGGCCCACCTGATGGAAAGTGGTAACCGTCGCCTATAGACATGAGCAATACCATGGATATAACAGAGTATACTGTTTCGCCCATGATACCCCCCGTGCATTGCCATTCCTGAGGACTCCGGTGTTATTCCTCTGTACCCTGTAAATTCACGCCATATCCCACCCTTCAAACTGAAACACAGCCATGCAAACACAACTGCTTCACCGTAGAAACACGAATGGGACAGAGATACCCAAGCAATCGACTTTTGTACAAAGTCTCCCTCTGGCAAAAAGCTAGTCTGATACAAGCTACACAACACATTTTATTTTGCTAAATTACATTATTAGAACATATGAGTGTTAAATGAAAGGAGATAGATAGCAGCAGTAAGAAGAGGAAAGCTTCACTACAAAAACCACATTCCCATACGAGCCATGCTGCTCGCGTACCCATGAATTGTGCATTGCACTTGATTGGGAATATGCTCACTTGGTATAACAATATAGACAATTTAGCTGATAGACTGGAAAAATTGGTTGACACTATAAGCTGTGATTACTGCATTTTCTATGACATATCTTTAATATATATATTTACATTTGGTTTAAAATGGATTTGGACATTGTATTATATTATATACACTCCTCGCAAAAATTAAGGGAACATAAAAATTTTTGAAATTTTTGGGTGATTTTCAACAGGCTGTATTTCAGTGAAAAATAATCGTACAGGAAATTTAAAAAAAGGGTTTTGAAGCTTGAAAACTCTAGTTTTCAGATTTTTTGGTTAAAAAATTTTTTGAGCTCCGGTTTCCATGCAATTCTTAAACAAAGCTCAAAATAATTTTTTTCTAAATTTTCTAGGTTTCGTTTTTCACTCTATGGGCATGGAAAAATTTTTTCGAGCTACTCCATTGTATAGGTCTCTTAGCGTGTTTATTCAGCTTCAAAAATCGCTTTGGATGGCTCAATTACGACCATTTGTCTCCGAGATATCGAACTTTGAATGCAAAAGCATCCTTTTCCATTCAACTGCTAATATCTCTGGAACTACTGGTCGCACAGCAAGCAAAAATTTTTCTTAAAAATTTTCTTGATTTTTTTCGATTTTTTTTTTTTGATTATGAATTTATAAAAAACAAAAAATTGAGTAAAAAGTGAAAAACAAATGAAATTATTGATTTTTGAATGGATTAGGGTGAGTTTAAGGGACAAAAACCTTGTTCCCTTATTTTTTCCAAAATTTCAATCAATTGGTCCGGGAAAAACCGTTGAACCGATCGCTCCAGGGATTTAGGGGGTTCTTTAAGGAACAATAGACTGTAAAATTTTCCTCAAACCTTAGCTTTCCCGCCCATATTAGCGAAGATACAGCCAAGTAACCAAAAAAGGAGAAAAAGTCACTTTTTTCCACTTTTTTCAATTCAATGTTAGAGGTGGAAAAAAATTTTTTCTTCACTAACTCTTGACTGTGCTTAATTGGAAATTTTATGCAGATAAAGAAACTCGGCGCCCGCTTGCTGTGTGACCAGTAGTTCCAGAGATATTAGCAGTTGAATGGAAAAGGATGCTTTTGCATTCAAAGTTCGATATCTCGGAGACAAATGGTCGTAATTGAGCCATTCAAAGCGATTTTTGAAGCTGAATAAACACGCTAAGAGACCTATACAATAGAGTAGCTCGAAAAAAATTTTCCATGCCCATAGAGTGAAAAACGAAACCTAGAAAATTTAGAAAAAAATTATTTTCAGTTTGTTTAAGAATTGCATGGAAACCGGAGCTCAAAAAATTTTTTCACCAAAAAATCTGAAAACTAGAGTTTTCAAGCTTCAAACCCCTTTTTTTAAATTTCCTGTACGATTATTTTTCACTGAAATACAGCCTGTTGAAAATCACCCAAAAATTTCAAAAAATTTTATGTTCCCTTAATTTTTGCGAGGCGTGTATAATTATCATATTTCTATTTACCATTATGTTTTAAATTACAAAATTGATATTTAATAATAATTAAAAGATACAACTTGGTTGAGATTGGAAGCAAAACTATTTTAATTGTCATAACTATTATACAGGTACCCACATCAATTGACTTAATCAAATTACCCATTATTTTTATACATAACATATCTCACCCCTATAATCTTGAAGTACAATTAATATCTATAATAGTTACAAATACAGAAATCAGCACATAAGACTAAGATACTCTTTATATTAATCACAACACATGAACGCTACACAGATTCCCTAGGTATACCAATTATATCTGGCCAGGAATCAGGGTCTGGTATTTCAATCTCAGGCGAAGCCTCAGGTACAATATCATCTGGTTGATCCCAGGATGGTCTACGTTGGCGCATAGTATGCTCTTTGCTACCACGTGATAAAATCTGATCTACATGGCGCCTATGTATCTCCCCATCCTCTGTTCTCACCCTATATGTGGTTGGACCTTCAACCTCCACAATGGTAGCCCTGAGCCATTTCCGTCCTGGCTCATAAACCCGAATTAACACTGCTTGATTTATATTAAACGTTCTGTTTCGAGACTGTTGGGCTACAGCTTCAAGTTGCTTCTGGGCATCATCTGGTACACAATTAGGGTGTAAATTGGAAACAGCAGTTCTATATCGACGGCCATTTAGAATTTCCGCTGGTGTTTTATTAGTGCTATTCGGTACTGTGCGTAAATGATACAATACTTTCGATAGCTTTTCAGGCCAAGATATGTTACAATTGGCATATGAAAATTTCTTAAGTTTATTTTTAAATGTTTGTATAGCACGTTCAATATGCCCATTAGTCGCAGGATGATACGGGGGTGAATACTTGTGCTTTATACCATTCTTTTTCAGAAAAGAGTTAAACTCTTCAGAACTAAAAGCCCTGCCATTATCAGATACCAATATATCAGGCAATCCTTGTGCAGCGAAAATCTTCCTTAATACATTAATAATTGTCTCACTGCTCATTGATGGAATAATCTCGGCTTCAAACCACTTGCTATAACTATCCACCAGTACAAAAAATGTTTTACCTTGGAAGGGTCCTGCAAAATCTACATGCACCCGACCCCAAGGTTTCTCCGACGGTATCCAAGCCTGTGGATCTTTTGGTGGATTATTTCTCACTTGTTGACAATGCACACAGTCTGCCACAATTCTCTCAATGTGTAGATCCATATCACGCCACCAAACATATCCTCTAGCATAAGCCTTAGTCTGAACAACGCCAGCATGGGGAGCATGTAATAATTCCAAAACTTTACTCTGCAGTGCTTTGGGTATAATAACTCTGTTGCTCCATAGTAAACATCCTTTACTATGAGAAAGAGCCTCTCTGCGAGACCAAAATGGTTCCACTTCCATATTTGGACTAGAACGGGGCCAGCCATGTAGTATATGAAACATAACTTTCTGTAGAATTGGATCTTTCTTAGTTTCTACTGCAATCCGTGTTACATCAAGGTCCCACCCCTCTGGCTGCTCATCAAGTAAAAGTACTTCTCTTAGACGTTCCTCTTCCCCTGCAGACGTATTAGGCACTGTCCATCGACTAAGGGCGTCTGCATTTCCAATAAGTTTCCCTGGCCTATATTTAATATTATAATTATAACAACCAAGCTTCAGCGACCACCGTAACATTCTTGGTGATATTTGGTCAGGTATAGGTTTTAAAGGGTTAAACAGACCAACAAGCGGCTTACGGTCCGTAATAATATCAAATTTACGTCCTGCCAAATATTCATGAAATTTTGTGATACCAAATATAATTGCCAGGGCTTCCTTGTCAATTTGTCCATAACGCCGCTCATGTGGCTGAAGAGTTCGTGAAGCCATCATAATCGGTCGTTCTGATCCATCATCCATCACATGGACAATCATAGCTCCTAGACCATAATCAGAGGAGTCACAAATTAATAGCAGTGTTCTGTTTAATTCATATCCAACTAATGTCAAATCTGATGATAAAAGATTCTTAGCTTTGTTGAAGGCCACTTGTTCGGCTTCACCCCATATCCAGGGTCGTTTTGCATCTAATAACCTATACAATGGTTCAAGAATCGTCGCTTTGTCAGGCAAGAATTTTTCATAAAAATTATAAAGACCCAAAAATGCCCGTAACGCCACCTTACTCTGAGGTGCTGGTTTCTCTTTAATCTCCTTGACCTTTACTGGAGATGGATGTAGTCCTTCACCATCAATCATATGTCCCAGAAAGGTAATGCTGTCTGATGCAAATACACATTTCTTTACATTAAGACGAAATCCCATTGAATTCAATTTGCTTAAAACTTTGCATAACCTTTCATTATGTTCTTCAATGTTTCTCCCACATACAGCAATGTCATCGAGCAAGCATGCTACTCCTTCCATGTCTACAAGGGCTGCTGACATTAATCGCTGGAAAATTGCTGGTGCCGCACTCACACCAAAGGCCAAACGATTCATCCTCATGAGTCCCATAGGAGTGTTAAGCGTTAACAGTTCAGCTGTCTCCTTATCCACCTTCACCTGTGTATAAGCTTGCTTAAGATCCAATTTACTAAACACACGTCCTCCACTTAACTTTGCAAAAGCTTCAGCTGATGTGGGCAGTGGGTATGTATCTGTATTTATAGCAGCATTAACAGTGGCACGATAATCTCCGCAGATACGGAGTGTGCCATCATCTTTCTTAACAACTCTAATTGGTGTGGCCCATTTTGAATACTTAACTGGTGTCAAAACGCCATCATTAATCATCTGTTTCAAAGAAGCTTCCACTTGTTGTTTAAGTGGAAATGGTACTGGTCGAGCTTTAAAATACATCGGTGCCATCTCAGGTCGTACATGTAATGAAACTTCTGGACCAATATATTCTCCTAAATCATTCTTAAATAAATCAGGAAATTTGTCTATGAAGGATGCTAACTCTTCATTAGACCAGCACAATCCAGAAACATGTATATCCAGAGGGTTGAACCAATTTCTTCCTAATAAACTTGGTCCCTTGCCTGTTATCACCAACAGCTCACATTGTGCCTCCTTGTTACCTAAACTAGCCCGTACATTAGCCAGTCCCAGCACTTTCAGTGGTTCACGTGTCCATGTCACTAATTTTATGTTGGTAGGATTCAGTGGGGGTGGTGTTACCCATAATTTGTAATAAGTTTCCTCTGAAATAATTGTTCTCGAAGCTCCAGAATCAATTTCCATGGAAAGGCTCACACCATCTATTATCACATCAGCTCTAATTGCTGGAAGGTACTTTTCTGTACAATTATACACCCCCAACATCTCTTCGGGCAAGGACTTACAGCTTCCCTCCCCACATTCTGTAGTCTGATGCACTTTCGCCAATCTCCTCTCACAAGCAGATGCAATATGCCCATAACGTTTACAAAAGTAACATCTTGCTTTCACAAACGGGCAGCGCTCACCAGTTTTATGTAGTCTTGCACAATGTCGACAGTCATTTGACTTTATCCTACCAATTTCCATAGGTTCCGTAACATGGAACGGAGTTTGCTTCTGCAGGATGTTATCAGGGTATAAATCCAAACATGTAGCTTGATAATTGAGACACATTTGTAAAGCACTTTCATAAGTTAGCTTTTCTGTTTTCAATAATTCTCTTTTCAAGCGTATATCACAAACCCCTAACACCAGTCTGTCTCTCAACTGACGTTGCAAGTCCGAAAAGTTGCACTTAACAGCCAATAAACTTATAGCTGCTACAAAGTCCTGCACGCTTTCATTTTGTAATTGATGACGTTTATGAAATTTTTCCGTTTGTAAAATTTCATTAATTTCCGGTTCATAAAATTTGTCTAAAACATGTAGTATATGGGAAAATTCCACTTCAGTTGGTCGATTTGGTACTAATAGAGATACAATTAAGCCATAAGTGTCTTTTCCACACTGAGATAAAAACAATGAACGCGCTTTATCGATGTTCTGTTCACCATAACCCGCGGCATCGAGCGCACATAATAACTGCTCTTTATAATCCCTCCATTTATCTGTTTTTGGATTAAAATGTCCCGGAAGCACTATATTGGTAAGATTTGACGTCATTTTCGCATAATTACATTTATTTTCATCAGTCGCCATTAAAAGATACAACTTGGTTGAGATTGGAAGCAAAACTATTTTAATTGTCATAACTATTACACAGGTACCCACATCAATTGACTTAATCAAATTACCCATTATTTTTATACATAACAATAATAATAAATCTTTTTTAATTCATTTTTAATACCCATAGTTTACATTCATTATGATAATAATTTAATTTTAATTAATTATTTTTAAATACAATATACAAACATTAATTAATAAAATAACAAAATAATTTTATTACAAATAACTTGATCATCAGGTACACAGTGGGATACCGTCTTAACAATAGGATTACTTATATTCATGAATCTTCGATGAAATTTTACTTTACATTTAGATAAAATTATTGTATTATACAAAGTTTATTATTAAATTATATTATTTTTTAAAAAGCATTATTATTATGTAAAATTATTTTATTTATTTAACACTTTATTGCACCAAATAAAAAACAATAATTATAGTAAATATTAAAAACACTATGCAATCTCTTCCAGATAGAGGGTAGGTGGTGCAGTTTGTATAATACACTAATATATACAAACATAATTATATATATTAAAAAAAAACAAATATATACATAAACATACACATATTTAATAGCACATATACAACAGAAGAGAATGATAGAGCAAAATGATGAGAGAACATAGGAAAATAGTACTAAAGGGAGAGGCAGTAGGATTTAACAGAGGTTTCAAAGCTAATGAGAATTTTACTGCACCATAATTCAAAGTATAATCTTAATCTCTTATAATTAAGTATTTATATTAAATATTGTAAATAATTTGACATGTACAAAAATTATAATTGACTATAGAATCATCCGTAAACTGCAGGTAATGATAATTAAATAAATAATGACACCCAGTTTACATTGGCAGCATACAAATGTAGAATTACAGATGAAGTTGTAGGCAGGTTTGTTTTAATATATAAATATGGAATTATAGGCAGGTAACTGATTGTAATAACTGTTATAATTGGTTTGGTCATTTGGAGAGGATGGATGAAAGAAGAATTACGAAAGAGATTTATCGAGCAAGAATGAATGGAGATGTCCATGGAGGTCGCTCTAGACGAACATATGTCGACCGAATAGGCGACGTGCTGAAGAAGGGTCAAATTAAAAGATATGTATGTATGTTATAATTTGCAATAGCCTCATTGCCAGGAAATCATACTGAAAATCATTGTAACAAATTGTCAATGAATTCGTCTCGATTGGTCAACCGACACTACGTCTGTTAATTTTCACCTATCTTCTTCACTGGTTATAATTTTATTTTCATCTACCAAATAAAAAAACTTTTATCAAATCTGACACGGTAAGAGAGCAAATAGGATGGTTGCAAACATGAGTTGAAGAGGATAAAATATTATTCAGACCCAAACGGTATTAAACAAGGGCAGGAACGTGATAATAATTATGTTAAATTAATATTTTATTAAATATACATACGTAGCGGCGGCAGAAGCTTCGGACGATCGGCTTTGTTGCGTCTCATCCATTTTTACCAAGTAACAATACCATTAATTTCATAAATACTGTATAGTAAATTCTCATAACATTATACTAAATAACTATTCTCATATAAAACAGAATAACAGCACTTTTAATTACATTCAAAAGCAAACAAACAAATCAACAAACGGTAACTTATTCAAATTTGACATTGAATGTTTTTTAAATGTTAACTTTTTTTTTATTTCGCATTAGTGTTACCATAACAATTTATGGATATTTTAAAGGGTATCGATAAGAAAAAGACTATAATTATAAGGATGTGTATATAATAATCCATTGGATTAGCAAACTTGAAATAAATACAGATTTTTTTTATTATATTAGTATCTGAAGGAAATCTTTAAGACACGAAACGTGTTATACTAAAAATAGAGATCCTTAGTTTTAAGGTTTTCTCCGCTTACGTCCTGAGAGACCTTAAAAGACAATATTACCTACATGGAAAAAAAAAATAATTTTGCTACATATACATCAATATGTAATTAAAAAGATAATTTTTCTCATTTTCGTCTAACTACTTACATAATAAATATTACTGTTACTGCTGTAATAGCTAAAAGAGTCGTGTACACAGAACAAATAGTCTGCCAGATGATAATTGCATAGTATCCTACACTCACTGCTTCAGGCATTAGTATAACAGACCCACATTGCTTACCTAATTTTTTTATATAATTTTATTTACAAAATAATACATTACAATTTTGCTACCTAAAGTGACATTTTAACGGTGACAACTGAAATTTTCTTCGATCACTTTAGCTGCAAAGAGCACTTAAGGAAAAAGGCGCAATATTGTGTATTATATCTAATTTATAATTGGATTTGGAAAATGTTTTTGATAATTAACTACATATATATCTTCTGATATTTATAAAATAGTTATAAACTTTTTCTAATATTTAAATTACCTTTTTGTATATAAATAGAGAAATAGTTTTCACATCATTATAATTTTGCTCTATATATATATAAATAAATGCTAGGACATGACAACGGGTCACCTGTATAAGGTTTTAATGCCTCATTTTATTAGACTAGCGAATCCTTAAGTGTTACTATGGTTCTACGTAATTATCATCACTATCATCATTACTTCATCATCATCATTATCATCACTATTATCACTATCACTACATAGTGTCGCTGTCGCTGTCTATCCGTCCATATGTATGCTTAAATTTTTAAAACTACGCAACGATTTGTGAAGCGGATTTTTTTAATAAATAGAGTGATTCAAAAGGAAGGTTTATATGTATAATACATGCATAATATTGTACAGAAACATTGATAAATTTAGAGGTTTCTAATGTGATGTTGTAAATAAACACAGTTTTTTGCGTTTACATTGCATACGTTGGCTGAACCCCACGAGATAAATCAAAATAATGTACTACAGTATTGTATATCTTAAAAAGGTCAACAAAAAAGTTTGCGATGGTATATGTCTATCTCTTAAGGATTACCCACAATAACCCGTTTTTATTGTTTACATTTTACGGAAAAAAATAGGTTATTTACGAAGTGATTTCAGGCAATACAGCATTAATTTTTATCCAATTAAGTACCTTAAATACATTGTTCATTTAATATAGATCAAAAATGGCCCTGTACAGCATGTAATTTATATGAATATTTTCGAAGATATTACAGATTTAAAATACACGGTCATAGTAGTTGCGTCGGTACCGGCCGAGTTGAGGGGGGGGGGGGCGGAGCTATTTAGTATCAGCATTGCACCCGTACGAAGCCGGGGCGGGTCATCGGTTATTCTTTACAATAAAAATTAAAGGAAAGTGTAAAGTGCTATACTTTTAAAATATTTCTAATAAAAGCTTTTATTCTTATTTAAATTACAGTGTTTTCGATTTTTAGTCACTTAATATTGGGTACCATAAAATAAAAGTTATTTGTTGGGCGTTCCGTTATCTTAAAAGTTTAGGAGCCTCTGCCTTAGACAGCTTAGCTTCGATATTCTAGCCATGAAGATGGTAAATACATTTAAGTTTGGATCCTTTACGGTGTAGATAAAGAAACTCAAATAATAAAGGGCACAAAAGAAATCAAACTTACGCTTTCTTTCACATAAAAATAAGTATAATAACAAAAAAGAATTTAAAATAATCGTTAATCATATTCCGTTCCCGTGAAGCTAGTACACGATGTAGACGCTGTTGTTGTTGTATATGAAGACAATGAAGAATTTCGCTGTTTACTGAAACATTTAAAACATATTGATAAGGATTTGTATAATTTAAGTATTCATTATGTTTAGAGTTCTTGAAACTGATAGAAATTGACTTCTGACTACCCTTCTTCTAAATAGCGAATGTAACGAACACACCCAATATATTTTATCTATTTTTTTTTTTTTATTCTTTTTTTTCAGTGGAATTTCGCGGCTCACTTTTGGCCGCAACAGAATATCAGTGTTTTGCTCTTTTTAGAGCAAAGCAATAAGCTGAGTTATGGCCATTTTGTATTACTGTGACACACGCATGAAGAAAAAAAAAATCTTACTAATTTTATGCATTTTGTTTTTATTTTTTATTTTTGTACATTTATCTTTTTTTTATCTTTTTTCACTGTACATTTGTGTCTGTTGCTGTTTGTGTGCTGTAAGTAATGCAAATAAATTATTTATCTATCTATCTATCTATATCTCTATACAGGAATATCTAATTTCGAACTAAGCAATATTTATACTAAAATTAATAGATAATTGATAGACATAAATAGTTTTTTTGTAAATACACATGTATAAGTAGATATAGTTAATTTTAAACTTTCACGTTGTTTACACATGTTTTAAATATACGATTAGAACTTAACGCGATGAAAATTTTTTGCGTACTGTTTTACCCATAATGCTCCCCATGCGTTGCCATTCTTGAGGGTTAAGGAGTCATGCCTCTGTACCCTGTGAATTCACGGCCATTCAACTGTTTCACGGTCAAAACACAAATCGAACAGAGGTACCTAAACAAACTACTTTTGTACAAATTCTCCCTCTGGCGAATCGGTTATTATAATATTTACCTTTTTGATGCTTTACGCTTTTGTCGCGTTTTCTTAAGTGGCTTTTTTCTTTTTGAATCGTTGTCTCGATGTGACTTCTTGTCATCTTCTTGCACATTATCTTCTTCATCACATTTAGTCTTCATCTGTCGTCGCTGTCTCTCTTTGTACACTTCGCATGAGTCTTTTGGGACTACTTTCCAAGCGCCCTTGCCATTAGTACGTTGATTTTTCTATGAATTTAAAAATATTGTTATATAAAAATAATATTAATATAACATTTTACAATATGGATATCAGACAAATGTCTATCATTTATATGTATAGATACTTAATTTTTTTTCCAAATACCACATATAATAAATAGAATATATTCAGACTAATAAAAACAGTTAACTACCTACAGTTTGCTACCTTTGTAGTATAAAAAAGAAGTCATATTCATGAATACTTGTGCTTGTATTGCGCAGAAATAAAACCCGCGACAGTTGAAAAATAAACTGTTATAATACCAAGGTCCCTTTAAGACCAGTACTACTAATAAATGTAAAGTGTAACGCGAGTGCGTAATCAGTTTATACGCAGTTTGCCAACTTATTCGTTTTGCAAACACAATTCGCCGGAGGGAAAGGGATTATTAGTAATAGAGACTGAGAATCCCATTGTTAGCAATATAACCAACCAGGTCGAACTCCTCGCGGTTCCCCCTGGAAACTATCATGGTTAATTCCTGATGAATTTATCATGATGGGCTAACTGGCCTGTTTTCATCTATCATCATCTATCTATCTATCATCTATCACTCTTCACTGGTGCTCCGCCAGCATATCCCATTAGCGCAGGCGGAGTTACCGTTACCATACCATTTTCACCCATAAAAAAAAACACAATTCGCCAATAATTTAGCCGTCAGCTACTGTTATTTAAAATTTTACCGTCTCTCATTTTTGCCCCAGATACTCCCCGAGTCCCAATTATTATTTTTTACTCTTGTAACTAACACGAACACGAAGAACTTCATTAATATTTTCAAGGTCCAAAGTGGAAATGCCATGAGTTGAGCCAAAATTATATTTTCTTTTATGTGTATATTTATTTTTTCTATTATTCTTACGTTTGCGTGTTTTCTTTCGTATATTAAATTGACGCGACAATCGCATTTTTTTGCCTAAATAAATATAAGTTAAAATGATTAGTTATCAATAATATTAGAATTTTGATTTGTGTCATTAACATTAATATTTTATTAAAATCCACTTTATATATAGAAAAAGAATATTTCCAAGTATCTTTAATCTATGATTTCAAGAGAGAAACATAAATTGAGAATAATACTTGAGATACTGAGTCTCACATTTATAAAATTTACGAATTTATAAATTTATGGATGTTTTAACAAATGGGTAATAAGTGCAACAGCACTTTATACTAAGACAGTACAGATTAAGAAAGAGTTATCGTCTCGCGAACGCATATTATTATAATGAAACAACAAAACGCAATTTGTCATATGACTGAAATAAGCAGTGCTACCAACCTCACAAACTCCTCCTCCATTTTGGGGCAGCTGATGTTTGTTTGAGAAATTAAAATATCTAAAATATCTCTGATATTCATCTAAAATGGGTGCCTCGTTTGTTCCCATCACTGTTTTCACCGTTTTATGGGGCATAGTTGGTATAGTATGCCCCTTCTTCGTGCCTAAAGGCCCAAATAGGGGGTAAGTGTTTGACATGTTTCTTGTCGTAAATATAGGATCGTTTTCCTTAATTAATCGTATTATTTAATTATATTTTTCAGGATTACTCAAGTGGTGTTAATGCTGACTGCGGCTACGTGTTGGTTATTGTAAGTATCTATGTTAAATATGCTTTAAAATGACTAGTATATGACCTCTATGAATCATCTTAAGAGAGCTAGTGTTAGATTCATATAATGGAGTGTGCTCTTATTACTAATTAGCTATTTGCTCCATCTTTGACTGCATCAATCAATGTATAAAGTATCCTATTTGTTAAGTTAGGATATAACCTATCCATGTACCAAATTTCATTCAAAACCGTTCAGTCATTTAAGCATAATTTAGTAACAAATATCTTTATTAATTATGAACTATCTACTCTAACTTAATATTTCATTTATATTCATACTTATTTAAATTCATGGCATTGGTTTCCCCACATTATTTATAATATTAGTTGCATGTAAGTGAATTTGCTTATTTATATGTAGTGTCTTGTACGGATCAGTGAAAAATTATAAAATTCTGTTAAATAGGTATATATTGAGTACAGCAGTAGAATAAAGAACAATGATTAAATGAGATGAAACAATTATGGAAAAAAAAATCATTTATGTGGCCAATAATTTTGCAAATATTATCATGTATACATGTAGAACAGAATTTTAACGAACATACTGTGATTGTCATTTCTGACAACCACTCATTTCTGACAATTGTTAGATAGATAAACACTGAGCTGTTTATGATATGCGTAAATTAACAAATGTGTTCATACAATCAAATTAATTACACTTTTTCAAATATAAAATAAAAGATAAATATGAAAATATGTTTTCTCCACATGTGTCGCAGTAACCCAAACAGGCCACAGCTCAGTGATAGTTTTGTTTAAAAGCAAAGCACTGAATTTCAGATGGAAACTGATTGTTTTTCAGAAAGGATGTATGGGGCTTTGCAAATAGTGTTATAAATCCAAATGTTTAAATTATTAGACAAATAAAAACTATAATTTACTTAGAAGCTACCTTCAAACAAAATCTCTCAGATTTATTCTAAATAGCTTTTTCATGCAGCTATTTCTTCTTTTTTTTTTTAAATGTTTTCCATCATAGAGAAAACAGTGACTTTCTGCCAATGTCAGGGTTGGAGAAGACTCAGTGTAATTCATATATTATGACGTTTTCCAGTAATGTAGATATGTCATTCAGTGGAGTTCTCTGGAAGGGAGGACAACACGAGATATGTTATTCGGCCATTTAAAAATTTGTTTTCTTTGACAACTCGGTCAATAAACTGCATTCACCCTAACATTTGTTTGACACATAGTATTTCAATCATCATCATCATCATCATCATCATCATATGAGCTGTTAACCATGCACTACTGAACATAGATCTCCCCTAATTGGGGTTGCCAGAATTTCAATGGATGGATGAATGGAGAAAGAGTGATCTCAATTATGACTAAACTAGTTATTTTAATCAAAAAACTAAATTACTTAACAAATTTTGATAAAATTTCTATTAAACCGATCTGTAAATGTACACTTTATCCTTTATGATAAAAAGAATTATTTTTGTGAAAAGTTGGTTGAAAAGTGGTGACAATCTACTAACCAGTGTTATTAAAAGTATTATAGGCACCGTAGAACCCTCTAAAAATTATTTTACTCATAGTGTATTCTATCTGCCAGTTTTAAATTGGGATGAGAGTATAATATTCATTCTCTGTAATTTTACTGCCATATCCCTTTTTATATAAATATATATACATATGTAACAGATAAAAGTCACTATTTCCTATTTCCAACAAGTTTTGTTATATATATCAAAAATTCTTTTTTCAAAAACTACTAAATTTTTCTTAAATCTATTTTTAATGTTGGTAACAAAATACACAAAAAGTAAAGAAAGTTCTATTTTCAAAACTTATTGTCTTTGGTACCAAAAACTAATATACATAATTTCTTTTTAATGTTTACAGCTGGCTATGTGCATACATGGCGCAAATGAACCCTCTCATCGGGCCTAGACTCACCTCGGAGACACTTATCTGGATTGCCCGCACATGGGTAAGTATCTATCTACAAGATTCATACTATATACCATATAAAACCATCATTTTAAATATGTCAGAGCCTTTAGGCCAGATCTATAGCAGAATGCCAGTCTTGATTGACACCACTAGTCCACTCTCAATCTGATCTTGGTCTAATATAATATTATTACATAAGAAATAGTGTATGTATTTACATGACAATCCAGTCCTATGCATTTTTTTATGCAGCTTAGAATGGCAAACAAGCTGATGGCCCACCTGATGGAAAGTGGTAACTGTCGCCTATAGACATGAGCATTGCAGTCATGATCAATCTTCAACTGTTTCTAGGGGAGATCCAGCCTTAGTAATGGTAGCTTAGGAACTCTAGAATTTATTACTGTTTACCATCAGATGCTTGTCTGTCACCTTTGTGGTATAAAAAAAATCATATAGTAAAAATTCATAGCTGAAAGAAAGAATATCCGTTCCTCAAGCTAGGGTACCCTGTGTTATGAGGTACCAGGCGACTAACGTCTCCAGTCCCAACCCACAAAACTCAGATTCGAACCAATTCAGAATAATTTGTTTTCTAAATTGGCGAGACTGGGAATTGAACACAGGTAAAATGACGAATCAGTAGTTGATTTCCACTTGGTCTCATATTAATTTTGTAAAAATTGTAAAGCAAATTCTATCTTCTTCTATTGTCCTATCTTTTTCTTCTACATACATACATACATATCTATCACTCCCATTAGGGTAGGCAGATACATGGGAACTCCAAATGCTTCGATTCAAACAAGCCTCTTTCGCGGGGTTACGGATTTTTTAAATTCTATATAAGTATAAAAATATACTTTTAATGCTATATAAGTACACACACACACATATATATATATATATATATATATATATATATATATATATATATATATATATATATATATATAATAATAATATATATATATAATAATAATAATAATAATAAAGCCTTTATTCTCTGACATTTTTACTTTAACTTATATACTACTTATTACTAAGGTAGCTTTCTAGCAACCATTATGTTAGTCAGGTTGTCTGTCGACATAGGCCTCCCCCAACTGTTTCCACTTTCCCCTATCCCTAGTTGACTTTCTCCATCCTTTAGGTAAATCGTCCTCCCATCTTTTGATTTGTCCTCCTCGTTGTCTTTTCCCATTTCTAGGATACCATTCTATTATATCCTTCGTCCATTTTTCTTTGTTGGTTCTCATTATATGTCCAGTCCAATTCCATTTAAGTTTTCTTATTTTTTGTAAAACGTCATTGATCTTTGTTTTTTTTCTTATTTTTGAAGTTGTCCATCGATCTCTTAGTCTGATGTTTAACATACTTCGTTCCATGTTGCGTTGACAAACTACAAGTTTTTGGGTATCTTTGTTCTTAGCAGGCCAAGTTTGACATCCATATGTAAGACATGGTAGAATACATGTGTTATATAGTTTGCTTTTTATTGCCATAGGAATTTCTTCATTTTTAACTATTTCGTTTAAAGACCAGTACCGTTTCCAAGTGTTACTTATTCTTCTATCTATTTCTTTAGAATACTGGTCTTTTATCGAAATTAGTTGCCCCAAATATATATATTCATCTACATATTCTATGACTTCTTGTCCTATTCTTATATTGACCCTTTCAGTATTCGTCATTACTTTAGTTTTCGTTGGATTCATAGATAAACCTGCTTTCTTGCTTTCTAAATCTAATTGTTGGAGCATATTCTGTAGTATCCCTGGTTTCGTTGCAAAAATCACAATATCATCGGCAAATCTTAAGTTATTTAGGTTTTCTCCATTAATATTAATTCCAAAATGTTCCCAGTCTAAATTCCTAAATATATATATATATATATATATATACCGATTTGAACATTTCTATTATTGTTTTGTTTATTATAGTACAGAGGTGGTTTAAAAGACAAAAGGTCTCTTAAAATCGTTAATTTTGTATGGGATTCGCTACTTCGGATTACTTTTAATAGATGGCGTTGTAGGTGATACGAAGTTTAATATACCATTTAATCTAATCATAAATACAGTTTTGCTATTGAAGCCCCACCATTCTATTTTGTAGAGGGAAAGTTAATTCTGTTACGCTGTATTTATTTTATTTATTTTTTAATGAGGCACACATAACAAATTATAACCATGTTAGGTTTATATATAGGTAATTATGGTTTTTATACTAGGTTACAATTCAAAAATATGTGCACACAACATACATTTACACATAACATTTCAATTTCGACAGATGGAAAACAATAATTAGTAAACAGCTGTACTGTATATAACATTATATATAATTTACATTAAATGAAATTTATACCATAAAACTATCACCACACAAGAAAAACAGCCCAGCCATCCTAAACATGAACTACATCACTAAATACTAACTAAAGACACCCACGGGGAAGGTAGTGGTGGCTTGTTCTATGACGGGACCACACGGCAAAAATAATAAGAAAATGGGAAAAAATTAAAATAAATTAAAAGTGGAAAATATTAAGTTTGCAGAGTTTCCATATTACTTTGTGACAATCGTTCGCAGCATCACGATGTCCTCGGTTAAATTTTTTAAACAGTATTAATTGTGTAACTAAATACGCTCTCAAAATACTTTGTTCTACTTAATTTGTTTGTAAGTATAAAATTATGCAAACATACATTTCTATTCGAGTTTAAATTCCGCTTACAAATTAGGTGTTCACAGGATTTTTTTATAGATGAAAATGCTATGTTAACCTCGCCTGCGCTTTAGGATATACGCTGGTGAGGCACCAGTGAATAGTGATGATAGATGGAGATGAATTCAGATCAAACGAAAATTGCATTCCTTTGATTTCTGTAAATCTTTATTTATTTATTTATTCATTAGTACAAATATGTGTACATGGCGGACTTAATGCTAAAAGCATTCTCTTCCAGTCAACTGTAGGGAAGTGTCAGAATACTCGAATGCTGTACTAATCTTCACTTTGATAAGTTATGTTTTAAGTTTAAATTATTATTTTTATTATTTTTATATGAAATCTAAAAAATAATAAAAATAAATATTATAGTAAAGAAAAGAGGAAAATTATTAACGAACGAACATCAAAAATCGTCGGTGCTGCCTCTTCAGAGCGATTCAGGAACTAAAAATTGCAATATTTAATAATTATGTATGATATCTCTTGCTTACTTGATCGTTAGTGGCACTATTTCACAAAGAGTAATTTAAGATTGAGTTTCACAAAAAATACGTCAATTTTGTGTGCCACAACCAGTTAATTAACCTACCTGTAGTACCTGAAAGCTTGTATGCCATTATATGGAAAAATGAACGTAAAAGGATATAATATAATATCGCCGTGTATTCAATGCATGATAATGGAATGGTAACCCCGCCTGCGCTTTCGGTATACACTGACGGGGCACTAGTGACTGATGATAGGTGAGGATGAAAAGGCAGGTCAGTTAGCGTATCGTGATGAATACACCTGGAATTCAGCACGATGGTTTCCACGGGGAACCACGGATAGGTCCTGATAGGGTATATCGCTAACAATGAGACTGGTAGTTAGCGTTACTAACAATCCATTTCCCCCCAATATCGTCGTGTAGATCCCGGCTTAGAATGAACTTAGCTTACTCTCCAATGTGTGTCGTAAGAGCCGACTAAAGGAAATTAACAGTGGGGGGGATAGGAATTGTTAACAATGGAGTTTGACAGCCCCATTGCTAGCAATAAACCTTATTATGTCGACCTTCACGTGGTTCCCCCTGGAAACCATCGTGAATAATACTTGTTGAATTCGTCACGATGGGCTAACTGACCTGCTTCATCCTCACCTATCATCCTTCACTGGTGCACCGCCAGCGTATCCCGTTAGCGCAGGCGGGGTTACCATTCCATTATCATCCATTTTTAATGGATGATAATGGAACTTGAAACTTAATGGTAGGATGATAGGCAGCAACGTCTCTCTTAAAACATCACAAAAAGTCCAACTGCGGTCGCCAACCCGCCCGTCAAACGTGGCGGAAACGTTTGGTGGACGAGACTTATGTTCAACAGTAGACAGTTAAGGGCAGATGTGATGATGATGATGATGAAGTAGGATATAGAGATTTCACTTTCAATAGAAATAGACATCCACGACAATGATTATTTGTCGATTACAGAAAGTTGGCTGCGTTTCGTTAATGCTAATTGAGTACAATGTGATCATCAAGGTCACAATTGCGTCGCATTATACTCTGAATATAATTCCGTCTTTCTCGCACTCCACTGAATCAGTGGAGATGGCAATAGAATGCATAGGGTTGGCAGTTTGGAAAAGTTGACGGAATAGTCTATCAATGAATGGATTAATGTTTTATTATTTATTGAACAGTTGTAACTTGATCAGAGAGCGAATAATAGTGTTGTGACGGTCCTAAGATCGAATTCCAGCTTCATTTGCTTGATTATTTTATTATATTTGTTACGTCATAACTTCGTTAGTTGTATAAATCGATTTGGGAAATTCTTTAAAAAAAAAAAACTACAATTGTGACAAAACTATGTAGTTATTTTAAACTAAACTACCGAATCAATATTAATAAAATTTCTTTAGTTTTTCGTTTCGATTAAAATTATTTATCTTTTAACCTTACAGATAAAAATAGAATTTTTCAAAATAGCTTTAGAATTGGCGGAGTTATGAAGTAACAAACATGAAAATTGCCATTGAATTAAGAATTTCACCTTTTGATGTTGGTTTAACCCGATTTCAAAAAAGAGGTTCTCAAATCGATGGTTCTTTTTGTTGTTCTTGTAATTGTATTTTATTCTTTGTTTGGGTTAGGAAATTATTTTTTTATCTAAAAGGATATACTTTTAAACTAGTCTCATAAAAAAAATTAACAAAATCGATTCAATACTTTAGTTTTTAAATCAAAATTTGAAATGTTATGCCACGATTGATTTATCGGTATTTTGTTTTTGTTGAACAAAATTTAAAATTAT